GAATGCTAAACAATAATAAATTTGAATCATCTCAAAGAAAATAACAAATGTGAATGCTTTGGATCAATCTAGTTGCAATATTATTTTTCAAAAGACAAATCACAGTTTTAAGAAGGTTCACTAGTATTGGAAGGTAAGCTATGAGTATTGTTTAAAATATTTATGAAACTGTCAATATTTTTGTCTAAATATTCAAAAAATTAATGATCAATATGGAAATTGGGTAAGATGAAAATTCCACTCTATATAAACGAGATATTGAAAAATTAATGAATATCACCAATACACTATAGAAACTTTGCAGGAACCATTGCATTGAACTTTTGATTTTTTTTTTTTTTTTGAGAAAATTTTCTCTAATTTTAACTAAATCTGGATAAGTTGATATACCCACTCATTGTAAATGTTCATAATTTTCGTCGAAGGCAATCGATATCGTTATCGATACATCCATTGATATTCCCACACACATCAATATTTTAAATACTAGCCATGGCTAGTGGCCATGCCGCTACTTTTATACTTTCTTTTTCATGTTTGGAATTTTATTGTTTGACATTTGAATCATTTGCAAACCCACGAATACTATGTTCCCTTAAATTGTATTTAATTTATACTTTGGGAACTTATAATCTTTGTCAACTTATTAAGTATAAATTTATGTATTAAGTACAGAAAACTATGTTCCCTCCTAGTTTCATTATTATACATCAAGCTCATGCTTTCTACCTCAACATCTGCGGTGTGTAAAGCAGTATATAGACGTAGACATGAATCATGATTTTTAAAGTCGAATTTGTATCACAATCCGTAGAGAAGGTCTTTTATATGGCATACGGGGCTAGGGACAATGCGAGAGGAAGTTGGAACCAATAGTGTGTCAGGATTAGCATGACAAATAAAAAAATATGTGGTAAAATGTTTTTTTGTATATGAATCTATACGAACATGTGATCCGATTATCAGATCCTATAAGCTCTTCAATCCACACCCTAGCTAGTAGGGGAGTTGAACTCTTATGCCGTACATGCATTATTAACTAGCTATACACTTTTCACCCACAAGATACTATTTCGCGGTACTGAAACACATGTTTTGAGCACACATGTTTTGAGCACCTTGATTCATTGTACTGTGATATTCTAAAGTATAATTATCATTGCAAACCTAATTTAGTAAAGTTAGCTAGAGCATTGCACTATTTGCATCTAAGTTTAAAACTCTCTCTAATTTAACTAAATTTAATGTAATTATCTTATCATTTTCAAAAGAAAAAGCATAATATGATCCCTTAACCTATATTATAACATGTCACATGTGACAGTATTTAGTTTCACTATCTCCAGTAATTTTTGGACATTAAATATATGAGGTACAAGACTTGCAATTTTTTTTTTTTTTTTGAACTAGCGATATTTCTACACTAAGGGGGTGAGAGAGTGGATTAAGCTTCATAATAGGTTAGAAATAATATGGCTCAAATTCATATTTGTCAATAATCAAACTTAAAACATCTTATTTGCAAAATTTAATTAAAAATATTATCTTTTAAGTTAAGGTCCACTGCATATATTTATATATAAATGTACTTGACTAGCCGATCCAATTGGGTGTGAGTCAAACTACCACAAGTCAAATTTGCACATTCTCTAAACCTATTAAACATTTGACCCCATGGTTTTAGACCCAATTGCCAATCTGCTAGCCAGACAGGCTTGGTAAGGTTCATACACATTCCTCCAAATAATAGTCAATTACTTCTTATATCATTCGTCTAATTCATACCATGTTTTTATACTATATTTTCATACCATCTTAGGTGGTATTTGATGTAGACATCCATATCTTTTGAATTAATCAAAATTTTAAATTTAATTTATTATTTAATAAACTAATAATTAGGAAAAATTAGTTAATTAAATAATGATTATGGTATATGATGAGTCTTTGTTCTTCCTTTTCTTGGGTTTTGCAAATTTTTCATTCTCTCTCTCTCTCTCTATAAATATAAAATCTTCTACCTCTTGTTCCTCACTGAATTTAGATATCTTTTTCATCCGTTTCCAAAGCCAAAAAAACCCTAAAACTTTCCATGGCAACTGTATTTTCAGATCAACTGCTCAACACCATATCAACTTACCATATCGACCTTGATGAATTTGATCTGGATGAAGCTTTAACTTTGTCTTTTGCAGAGAATTCCAATTCTGCCCACTGCAATAATAACAGTATCATTGCAGCATCGAATTCAACCTGCAGCTCCTTGAGAGTTGAATGCATGCCAAGTCCTGTTACTGCAGTCGATGATGTTTGTGCGGTTTGCATGGAAGGACTGCAATCAGGTGGTGAGGAGGATCCCAATATTATTGGTAAACAAGTCCCATGTGGCCATGTATTTCATGCCACGTGTATCTCCTCCTGGCTTGTCGCCTGCAACTCTTGCCCTCTCTGCCGCTCCCCCATGATCCCCGCCGTCGAACAGTGACTTTGCAGTTTGCGCCATCCCATTTAATTTTTCTGCGGTTTGTTTATGTAATTATTTATAGGTTTGGTTTGCCGCACCAAAATTAATTTGTAGTACTCTTTAGTAGAAATTGATTTAAGTGTTTTTCAAATAATAATAATTATTAAAAGAATGGTTCGAAAATACTACAAACAAACATGTATCACCCGATTTTATTTGTTTTTATGAAGATAACATTTTTTTTTTCTTTTTGATTGAACAGAAAGTTGACAATTTAATTGGATAATCAAGTTTTGGCCTTTCATAATAATTTAGCAAGTCATTCGGCTAGCAATTTGTTATAGTGTGACTGTTACATCATTGTGCATTGTCACATATCTTCGCAATTATTCTGTCAAGTTGAAAGTGTTATTTATATATAGCTTTTAGTGCAAGTGGTATTTTCTACAAATGTACACTATAAAGAGGGGAAGTTTGAATTCGAAACGTAATGGATTAAAGAGAAAGACCCTAATACCGAGCAATCCACCGCTTACATATAGTGTAAACCCTTGAATTTGCTAAAAATGTGTTAACCTTCAATTCCTAAGTTTTGTCTCATAACTCAACAACCAAGAGTTCCAATTATTTACATATTTCGTTGTGAATGTAGTTTTTTGTTGCCATATATTACTCCAGAAGTTAGTCATATGCTTTATACGTCATGTAGCTTTTTGTAGACAAATATTCCTGAAGTTGGTCATATACTCTGTACATCATAGAATTAACGAAAAGCCAAAATGAAAGTTCTGAGAACTAAGTGAAAAGAAAAAATTATTTTAGGGGAGGACGTTGCTCAAGTTTTCAAATATTTATGCTATACTAAATGTCATAAATTATAATATAAGGTATGGGCGAAAACAACAAATGCTGATATAAGAATAACTTGAAAAAGTTGTACTAGACACCTGGGAGGCAGCACCCAGGGCCGGTTCAAAAAATGCAACCTTGATTGGCTAAACGTGTGTTGAACGTTACATAGATATATTTTGGATGGTCAACTGTAATTAATTTGTATTCCCACCACTTTAACATTTTTTTGACAGATAAAACCAAAAGAATTTGTTCATAAAAGGTAGCAAACTTGGGTTTGCGTAGATTTTATAATTTTTTAGGGAAGAAATCCCAACAAAAATTTAAATAATTCGTATTCCCACCACTTTAACATTTATTGACATATAAAATCAAAAGAATTTTTTGATAAAAAGTGGTAAACGTGACTTTGAGCAGATTTTATAATTTTCTATTTTTTTTAGGGAAGAAATCCCAACAAAAACATTATGAATTTGATCATACAATTGTTTTTTAGCCATTATAAAAAGTAAACTTACTAGAATGAGATTAATAGGAGAAAGACAAATAGGATTTGAGAGCCACCAATCACCATCACTTGGTCAAATGTAGCACAATCTTACCAATATATATATATATATATATATATATATATATATACACAATAACAACAACAACCAAGTCTTATCTCATTGAGTATAGTCAGCTGTTTGAATCCAAGAATCCTACTGCGCTTGATTTTGCATCAATTATTTCGTTAGCTCCAAGTACAACAAATCTTTTCTTAAATCTATTTCCATGTTTTTCTATGTCTCCCTCTATCCCTTTTTCCTTGAGCATCCTTCGTAGTTGCATTTTCTAACAAAAGTATCTGTATGTTTCGATTCATGTTTCCAAAGCATGTTAACCGATTTTTTCACATCTTATCTTCAATTACAACCACCCCTACACCTGGATATCTCCGTTCTTAATGCTATCATCCTTGTGTGCTTACCCATCTAAATCTCACCAATATATTTAAATATAGAAGAACATTATGACAAAAAAAATATAGAGATTAATATTTGACAACGGCCATTAAGGACAGTTTCGATTACCATTTTGGCCCAAAATTAGTAAAACTCTGGATCACGACTAACTCAAAATAAAAGGGGGAAATGGGTCGACTACCTCTTTTTTAGCCTAGATTGCTGGGTCGCTCCTGTGAATAATCTACCAAAAAAGAAAAGGTGACCCAAAAAAATAAACAACAAAATTGACTAGTCTTAACAATTAAATGTTTGTTTTGTTGTTAAAATATTTATAGCTGTTAAGAATACATATCCATATCTTATTTGTTTGACTTACATTTTGATGAGACTCCAAACACAACTGTGGTCCAAGTAATTCATCATTGTTCTAACATGTGCAAATACTAATACTATAACTTGAAATATAAGCTCGGGCTGTTCCAGAATCACTGGCGAATCGTTTGTGTTTCACTTGAGCAAAGACAACTTACTTTTGAACCATAACACGAATTGATTTATGCTCTGGCAAGAAAAGGTTTGAAACTCCTCACTTGAATTTGAACTTTTACAGACGCATTTTTGGGCAGCCAACTCTACTTTAACGTACAATCTGACTTTTAGTGCAAAACTAGTAAATTTTACCCGCACGTTGTTGCGGGAGCGAAAATATAACTATAGACTATATTTTTGACATATAAATAACCAAAGACTAAGATAAACATTAAGTAGAAAATGGAGCAAATATTTTTATAAAGCTGTCTAAGTTTATGTAACTTACAGAAAAGACATTGTGAAATGCCTTGTCATTGATTTACAAAAATGGCTAGTCTAGTATTCCCCATTGACAGTTACATGAACATAGAATATCCCATAAGAGCACATTTTCCTTGAAGCAGTCACTGCATATAAAACAATTTGGATCATCAGGAAAAAAAAAAAAAAAGGTTACAACTGAAACAAAATGTTAATACAGTTGTAATTAATTAGCAGTAATACTTTACATGAATGAATTGGGCAGACGATGGCAAACTTGATATCAATAAATGAAAAAAAAAATCAACGGCCATCATTTATATACAGGAATAATAAAAATCCATTTGCATTAGCTCTGGATCAAGATCAACTCAAGGCTACAAAAAATTTAAACCCGAGATTCAGATCGCACTATTCAACCCCAAAAGCCAAATAGTACATTTAACCGACTTAACACAATGGATGGCATAAATCAAATCTAGGAAATCATACTCAACCTGCATTGCAGAAACGAACACTGTAGCTAATATACATTCTCAATGTCCTCAGCAAGTCCTCTCTCCAATGGCTCAGCAATCTACAAAAGGTTTTTAGAAGATTATAATTTAAAAACTGAATCACATAAAATTTCTGAAATTAGGTTGCTTCTTACCATAGTTATTTTATTCTTCTTATTGGATGTTTCAGCAAAGCATTTGATTGACAAAGGCTACACTGCTTCACAAAATGAAACAACAGGATCAACCTACAAACAAAAGCATATCCATCAAGAAAAGAAGAAAATAAAATTTTACATTCTTAAGGGGTGGAAAAATTACGTTAAAAAGAAACAACGTGAAGAGAGGATGAGGATTGGGAGCAAACAATTACCTTGACTTCTACTTCCAAATAAAGCTCTCTTAGGTCCTTCATTATTCTGACATAGCCTATAACACATTCATTTATGTTAAAAAAACCTAAAAATTAAGCACCAAATGTTTCACTTCAAATTCCATAAAAATCAAACCTCTGAAACAAAAAGTTATTGGGCTTTCTCTTGTGAGGAGGAGTTCAAAACTCACAGTTCTGCAAGATGGGCATCCGCCGTAGATTGATTGGTCTAGGATTTCACATTCGTTTTCTGCCCTTTGCAAAAATCACAGAGCAGCCACCTTCTCCCATTGCAATCCTCTTAGAGAATTGCCACGTCAGCCTTGGAAAAAACTGGAATCAAAGCAAAAACATGTAAAAGGGCGGTGCCATACCTGTGGAGCTCGAGCATGGAAAGGCTCTGGTTCCATTCAAAACAACAGAAAAAACGTTTACAGATCTAGCTTTACAGAGATGCACAACCAGTCGAAAAACGGATACTGGAAACAAAATCCCCAAACAAACGAAAACCAAATTCACTCAGGAATCCGATAGTAGCAAGGTCTAGTTCTCTGGTCATCAGCAGAAATCGCCATGTCGGAAAATCGAGCATCTGAACACATAAACAAAACATTCAAAATTAAAAATAAAAATAAAAACCAAAAACCAAAATTTAAACATAAGTTGTATTTGCGGAGCAAAGGCCACCCAAAAACAAATACCCGAGCACTCGAGCTGAGTTTTGAAAGAAAAGTCGAGCTAGAATCCTAGAAGCCGTCGCCGGCCAATTGAATCATCAGAGATAAGGCAACGATGAGTGGGTATTTTAGATAGAGAATCAAGCGACTGGATATTTCGATTTGCCGTTGGAGATTGGAACGATCTGGATGAATTTTGGTTTCGGGATTCTAAGGTTGGATGAACGCAGATGTTTTTTTTTTTCATTCCAGGAGAGATGAAGCAAATGAAAGCAATTGGAAGCAATTGGAAGCCACTGGAAGCAAATAGAAATCCTGACATTAAGGGCCAAATGATCCCGATGACCAACACGTGGAACTAACACGCAGCAGCAGATAAAAGTGGAAAAAGCTAGAATCCTAGAAAACACAACATGCACGCACGGACGGAAAGAAAAATGAAAGAGGGGCAAAGTGGCCAATTCACCATTTAACCCCACTAAAGCTGAAAAAACATGAAGAGAAAGAGGGGCAAAACCGGTGGAGCACTGTTAATGAACAGTAGTTTCCACCGGGTTTTAGTATATATAAAATATACGTTACTTAAGCATATGGCACCCACTTAATTGTGTGGTGGCAAACCCGTCCAGCTCCACGTACACAAAGAAGAGACAGAACAACGTGCATAAAGCGGCAAACAAAGCCAGCAAAATAGGCGGCTAAACAGAATTACATAAAAAAACCGAGGATAGTGCGTGGTATCGTCCCTCGTTGCCCACCTGAGCTTTTTCGTTAAAATAACCCAAAAGATTGTCCTCCACAATCGATTTCGTACACTGACTTCTCAAGTCCTGCCACTTGAGTTTCCCCGGAAAATGGTAACCCAAATCACAAACGGCGACGGAGTTGCCAGAGTCTCCGCCCTCAACTGCATCGATCTCTCGAGCTCCGAGACCCACCAATCCGTCTCTTTACTTAAACAGGTTAGAAACTTACGACTCCCGCATAAATTCTTCAACTTTTTTCTGGGTTTGACGATTTTCTGTTTTTCTAATCTGGGTAGTGAAGCAAAACTGAATTCTGGGTTGTTTTAGGCGTGTTTGGATTGCGGGTTTTTCTACCTGGTGAATCATGGAATAAGCGAGGAGTTCATGGCGAAGGTGTTTGATCAGAGCAGGAGGCTTTTCGGGTTGCCATTGAGTGCAAAAATGGAGCTTTTGAGGAACAAGAATTACAGGGGATATACCCCTTCTCTCGACGAGCATCTCGATCATGAAAACCAAGTTCACGGTTTGTATCAAACCACTAGGAAAGTACAAATTCTGGTTGTTTCCTTGGGTTTTTGTTCTTGTTTCATAAAATTTGGGTTTTGTTCGATGAGTAGGAGATTACAAGGAGGGGTATTACATAGGAGTTGAGCTACAAGAAGATGACCCAGAAGCTAAAAAGCCGTTTTATGGGCCTAATGTTTGGCCTGCTCCAGGTAAATAACTGCAAGTTGTGGAATTGAATGCTGGATTTCTAGCAAAATTTGGTTTTATAATGCCCTTTCGTACTTTTAGCATCTAGCAATAGAAGGGTGTTATTGATCTTTTCGTACTATTTGTTTTCGTTGTAGATGTGTTGCCGGGGTGGAGGGAGACCATGGAGGATTATCATAGACAATGCTTGTAAGTTGTGCACTTGCACTTAGCAACTACATATGTTTTGTATGATCAGAGTGCTTGTGCATGTGTCTCGACGGGCATGTGATCAATGTTTGTTCCATGTTAGAAATCGTTGTTTTCCCTTTTGGCATTTTAAATAGTGGCTTTTACTCATATCTGCTTCCAAGTTTGCAACTCTGTTCAGCAGAATATCGTAGTGTCGATTGCTATGAGAATATCCCTTATGTTAGTGACAAGTTTTTAGGATGAATGATTGATTACTTTCATAACTTTCAATAATCCTTTTCCATATTTCTTCTTCTAGATTAGTTCTTTCTAGAGTGGATGATAAGCGTTGAGGAGACCTGTTTTCATGAAAATCATTTCAGGGAGGTGGCTAAGTCAGTTGGTAGGCTTGTGGCCCTTGCTCTTGATCTCGACATCCATTTCTTCGACAAACCAGAAATGCTTGGCGAGGCTATAGCAACACTGCGTTTACTACACTATGATGGTAAATTTCAATCAAAAGTTTTGTAACTTTAATTTGATCCTACAACTATTTTAACTCCTAAGACGATGTTCATTTGTTATATAGGTCAAGTTTCTGATCCAGCGAATGGAATTTTTGGAGCTGGAGCTCATTCGGACTTTGGTTTTATAACCCTATTGGCAACAGATGATGTTGCAGGTCTCCAAGTAAGAGTGCTGCTGTGAACTTAAGCTATATTACCATTGTTAAGAAGGCAGGTGTAACTATTGCATTATTAATCTGTTATTCTACCCATATCTCTTTGCAGATATGCAAAGATAAGGATGCAAAACCTCAAATATGGGAATATGTACCACCAATAAAAGGGTTAGTCATTCTACCCTCCGGGGAAGATTGATATCATTAAAGTGGCTTAATTCTGGCTGACTCATATGTGCTATGGTTGTATCCTTCCTTGCGGATATATGCTTCATTGCTAGTAGCATGTTTGGAACGTTTCACGATTTTATATTCGCCACCATAGTAGCAAATATAATGCAAAGGCACCTTTTTAATTCAGTATGGTAACATTCTTTTTTCTGTTTATTACTTCAGTGCATTTATAGTGAATATTGGTGACATGCTGGAACGCTGGAGCAACGGCATTTTCAAGTACTGCACACATCTCTTAGTTCTGTCTGCATTATATGCTCATAGAAGATGAATGCTGGCATTTTGGAGCTGTGCATTTCATTTGGATCTTATTATATGTGCATTCTCCTTTTAGAATTTTTGTGTTCAACTATTGTGACGCATACTCCTGCTTTGTTTTTGTGCTCAGGTCCACATTGCATAGAGTTGTAGGGAACGGTCAAGACAGATACTCTGTATGACTCCTTTTCTTCTTTACTTCTTCTATTTCATGGCGTACTAGACTACATCAGTTTCAGTGTTTTTATGCTATGTAAGATTATTTTGTTCGTTGTGTCTATCATCTGGTTCAAATGTAAACCGTCAATTTCAGTTTTTGTATCTGTGCCTGAATTGTACATAAGCTCAATTACTTGATTTTTGTTTTCTTTTCTCGGGATTTACATGGCATTCGTTATGTTAACTTTCACATATATGATATACTAATTTTTGTTTTCTTTTTTACAGAACATTCTTTCGGATTTTGGAATCAATATCTCATTTGCTTCTTTTCTTTGGCAGATCGCATACTTTATGGAACCAAGTCACGATTGCCTTGTTGAGTGTTTGCCTACGTGCAAATCTGAAAATAACCCTCCCAAGTAAGTTCCGACACAAATGTTATGCTGGAACTATTGTATAGCTATTTGAGCAACTCAAAAATTTTATGCGGCCAAAGGATGGCGGTTTTGAAATTCGAATCATAAAGCATTTAGAGTGATATTCTCACTGTTCATTGCATTCCTGTATCTGTCTACTTTTCCAGATTTCCACCGATCTTGTGCCGCACTTACCTGAGCCAGCGCTATTACGACACTCACGCTGATCTGAATGTCTACACCGAACAAAACAAATAATTTTGTCAGTTCTGCTGCAATTGAAGATGATTCCTCATTCTTCTAAGATAGCTAGCATAAGTTTCGATATAGTTCAACGATTGCTGTACTCCATAATCGCTACGTCACTGTTCAAAATGTATCCCTCTGCAACTTCATATAACCTTGTAATCTGGTACCCTACCGCAATAAATTTTCAACCATTTTTGTTGCAGAATCTGTATCTAACTGACCTAGTACGGAACATGTAGTTCGTTCTAAATTACCGGTAGCGTAGAGTGTGTCGTAAGCCTGCATATTCGGGGTTCTTGGTAAAACTGGGTGCAGTAGGAAGTCATCCATGGTTATAATTAAAGAGTGTACTCCCTCAAATAATTAATGACATTTTAGTCAAAATAGTTCCTGAAATTAACATAACTTATCTTTTTAGTACTTGATAATTAAAATCGATAAAGTGGCCCTTGAGGTTGGTCCACTGTAAATCATTTTAGTCATTTTGTAAAAAAAATATCTCAATATCCTTATTGAATTTTCACCTGAAATACCATGTAACCATCTTTTTAAGGGTATTTTTGTCGAACGAACCCCAACACTTAACGATAATATTGAAAAAAAATTTCATAAATAATCAAAATGATTTACATGTACAATCTTAAAAACCATATCGATTTTTAATGTCAGGAACTAAAACGAAGAGTTATACCATCATATCATTTTGGGTCAAACACCGATCATTAATATCAACACTTTATATAGCTTTACCTGGTTTTTAGCCATGTTAGTGCTGTAATGGTTGAATGATTGGAAAGGAACCCACCATCTCCTTTGTATCTTTGGTGCCACTTGTATTGATCCATTTGCTTTTGGAAAATAGCGTTTCAACAAGTGCGCACTCGCTCACAAAAAGCTTATAATTAAAGTAATTTAGAGTGTACCCTGCAACCGAGATCTTATGTTTATTTCTTTGCTTTATCGTTCGTATTAACAACATAAGTGCACTCTTTGAGCAAACACATTTGCACTCCCTCAAATGATTCGTATCAACACTTGCTTTACTTGGCTTTTTAGCCATGTTAGTGCTGCAATGGTTGAATGAATGAAAAGGGAACCACCATCTCCTTTCGAGTCTTTGGTGCCACTTATATTAATACATTTGCTTTTGGTAAGTGGCATTTCAACAAGTGCGTACTAGCTTGCAAGAGGTTTACCTCATGTGGGCATTTGTCCCTGCAATCGAGGTCTTATGTTTGATTCTTTGCTTTATCATTCTCATGAACATAAGTGCACTCTTTGACCAAACACATTTTAGAAACTATACATATGATTTGTAGAGCAGGAGACGTAACGACATCAAAGAACAAAATGCGAAGGAGGCTAATGCATTTGATCTGCAGGAACAAATACAATTAGCATATTTATTCGAATTTTACAAACCGATGATTTACACGCATCATCTTTCCCTTATTTCACAAGCACCGATACAGCACATCTTCAGAAACACACATTCTTGATAAATAGCCTCAAAGCAAAGCATAACACACAACAAACGACGGAGCCAGACACTGTTTAGCGGTAGTTTCTGTAGACGGGACTGTACATGCAACTCTCGGCATGCTTCACAAGATTCTCAGGACGGGGGAGACGCGTAGCCACGCCTACAAAAGCATAAGATGAAAAAGAGTTACATGGGGCATGGAAGAAATGATATATTTTTGGGTTAGAACTCAGAATATACCAAAGTGACAAAAGGCAGAAGAAAACTTACCAAGGTCATATGCCTTGGCAGCTACATTAGCAGCTACTTGGGCAGAGATCTTTCTGATGTTCGACAATGGTGGATAGATCAGCCCCTGTGCAAAATTCTCCTCGGAAACTTGCCCCGCCAAGGCTTCCGCTGATTTTAGGAGAAAACCAAGAAGTTGAACAAATGGTAAATGCAAAAGTCGGAAAATGCGATACAAGTTCTACTTTGCATTCTTTTTCAAAATTACGTCGTTCAAAATTTTCCATCTACTTACAGGCTGCCAGAAGCATGTCATCGTGAACACGGATTGCTCCAGAGATAACCAAACCCAGACCAAATCCAGGAAAAATGTATGCATTGTTGGACTGGGACGATACAAAAATCTCGGTTATTGATACTCAAACCAATGTGTTAAAATTTGGTCTTCAAAGTTCAAACTACAAGCTAGTTTTGCATTACCTGGCCAGGAACAAAAACTTTGCCATTGTACTCAACAGGATCAAATGGACTTCCGCTGGCAAAAATTGCACGACCCTTGGTAATGGAAGCCGGACAAGAATCATGAATGAGAAATTAGTTTCACTTTCTGATATAAATCCTCAATCAAGTAACAACAGATTAATAGTAAGCGTAAATATTATACCTCACTGTAAGTATAAGCTTCTTCAGCGGTACATTCAGATTGTGATGTTGGGTTGGAAAGAGCCAAAATGAGAGGTTTCTGCAGCATTCATTTCTTAATGTCAATAAAACCGATGCTGAACATGTTATGCCTACGTACAAGAAGATAGACACGGAACAGGGGTAAGAGAAAAAAGAGGATTACCTCATTGAAGGACGATACTGCTTCAATCACCTCCTTTGTAAATGTTCTTCCAACACCAGACGATCCAATAAGAACTGTTGGTTTAATTGCCTGATGAAGTATGGATGTACTATCAAAAACCGAGAATTATAAAACTAACATATATCCACTAAAAATATATATCATATGATTCGAACCTTGACAGCATCCAAAAGATTATCAACAGGCTCATGCTCATGAGCCCAAGGCTGCTTAAAATGTTGAAGAGAATCTTTACGAGAGATAACAATCAATCCCTGCAAGACAATTCATGGGCTGCGTTAAGTATGGAGAGGAAACTAGAAAAATTGATAAGGGACAGTCAGAATTTTGATCGAGAACGCTACCCACCTTTGAATCAACAAGCCAGATCTTCTTACGGGCCTCTTCCACAGGAACTTTTGTCTACAAGAGACGAAGAAAACTAAATAATGAAGGAAGAACATTGATCAATCGTGACTAGAAGTTCTTTACATCTCTGGATTGACATGAGGCATGCACATTATTTTAGAAAGTTAATACCCTTTTCGAGATCTCAAGAGCTATTAGTTCTGCTATACCGGTACCAGCCTACAATCACCAAGTAACAGTGGAATGAGAATTATGCTGTAGAGTTGGACTACTCTTGGTTCTCTACCAATCTGATGCAGTAAAGAAAAAAATCGACAATTATATAACAATTCTTACTTCTCCAGCGCCAAGGAACAAAAACCTATGCTCAGACAGGGAACCACCGATTAACTTCAGTGCTGCCACAACTCCTGCAAGAACTACAGATGCCTGTCCCCTGAAACAAGGAGACAATGGTTCAAAACAGAAAGAAACAAAGTGTACACACCCTAAAGGCTATCGTGCAAGCTCAGTCAGTTATCTAATTTGTACCTGTATGTCATCATTGAAGACGAGATGAGATGATCTATATTTGGCCAGCAGCTCGAAAGCATTGTGGTTTGCAAAATCTTCGAACTGCACATTTCAATATAAAGGGACTAGACAACCTCAGAAAATATGAAAATTTTGTACTCCAAAAATCCAGTGTATAGATGATGTAACATAAGAAGCAACCTGTACAAGAACTTTTTCGCCATAGTTCTGCTTGACAGCACTCATGAACTCTTCTAAAAGATCCTCGTACTCCTGCAAGTACGATCAAAATCTCTCACATTAAGTTAAGCTTTATAATTCTGGATCATACACGCAAACTAGAGACTGGAGTAAGGTAAACCTTTCCCCTTGTCCTCTTTTGTCTGAGTCCAATGTAAAACTCATCATCCAGCATCTTCTCATTGTTTGTCCCAACATCAATTGTTACAGGCAAACACTGAAGAGAAAAGTCCACGGAATTCTTGATTAAAATAAATAAATATGCTATGATATCCATGATTTGCAATGCAAACCTATCATGTTGAAGTGTAAACAATGATTACTATTTAGTAAATAGGAAAACGCTTACCGCTGAGGGGCGAACTCCTCCAAGTGCCGTATACAATGCCAACTTCCCCACAGGAATTCCCATCCCCTGAAGCATGTTCAACAAGGCGGTGTGCGTCAAGTTATTTTCCAGTATCGCTATTTTACCAAAATGCTTATAACTCAAAGAAAAAAAATTCATTCCGCTACCTTACCTGACAACCAAGGTCACCGAGTCCCAGTATACGTTCACCATCAGTCACAACAATAACTTGAACAGCCCTTACAGGCCAGTTCTTCAATACCTCAAGAACTTTACCCCTATAATGTTCAAGAGTTTTTCACGTTATAGAACTTCATGTTGAGAAAACAGAAAAATCACGGTGTAAACAAATACTCGTACTTCTCTTTTAGACTTATGTAAAGACCCTGAGGGCGCCTGAAGATGCTCCCGAATTTCTGGCAAGCCTCACCAACAGTCGGAGTGTAGACAATTGGTAGCAATTCCTCGACATTATCAATGAGAAGTTTGTAGAACAGCCTCTCATTCCTCTCCTGTTAAACAAAGCAAATGAATGATCCTTTACATCCTTAAATGTTTAACACATTGCGCCAATAAATATAACACACTTGAAACAGTTTCAATCTTATGGAAACCGAGTTTAACTTCAAGAAATAAACTCGAAATCAACCTCAAATTAAACTGATCCGGGTGAAAGAAAAAGTACCTGGAGTTCCGTCAGTGCCATATATTTTTGCAACGGGACTTGATATTGTCGGATGGTATTCATCAACTTCTTCTCCTGGTTAACAGTAGTATACAATGTTAAATGAGCCAACGACATTTTCATTTTTTTCTAAACTATTCTAATTTGCGGGGAGGGGGAATCAAACTCGAGTGAAAGGTGGCGGGAACACTGTCATGACCAACTGGTCTAACCGAGCTAACAACATGTTTGAGTTGTTAAAACATAGCCATATATGTAAATCAACTTAAGATGAATACCAAGTAGAGTTCTGAAAATTGAAACCTGGACTTGTTGAGAAATAGTTGCCGGAGGAAGAAGACCACGCAAGTAATGGGCGTCCCTCTCTTTCTCTGTAAATGCTAGCCCCTTGTTGTATTGAGGATCTCTCAGCAACGAATACCCACTGCATAAAAGACACACCAAAAATTAAACAAAAAAAAAATTAACTATCACAAAAAATGGTGCTTGATCCAAATGAGAACGCCCTTCACCACCGCAGTGGCGGAAAGTAATCATGCTTATCCACTATGGTGTGAGTTCGATCTCCATCTTCTTCTCCCTAACAACTATCTAATCCTAACGCTATGTTTGTTTTAAAAATAAAAAAAATAGTATTATAAAAAGTTAAAAACTTTGAAAGTTGATTGAAATGATTAATTAATTTACAAATTTCAATTCATGAACTGATTAAAATCAAATACTGACGATAACACGATCAAGCATTAACTGATCAAATACTGAAAAGTGGTCATGTGCTGGTCGTGATGATATATCGAAATCGAATATTAACCGAAGAAATACTAAAAAAAAATGGTCTAGATTTGTAACCCAATCATTTCCCAAAAAACTTACATGTATAAATATATATTCTTTGTTTTTGTTATTAAAATCCTAATTTTTATTGAAAATAAACAAACAGCCAGCATCAGAACTGCAAACTTTTCAGTTTTCACTTTTCAGAGACTTAAAATGGAAGGTTCAGATTTCAGAACTGCTTCACAAGGGATCATAGAATTCTGTGGGGCCCACAACAGGTATACTGAACCTCAATCCTCCATCATCAGACACAGCTACTATGATCCATGTATGAAACCAGACGGTAAAGAGTAACTTAATGAAAAGAGATGTTGACCTGGCAACGGAGTAATTCCAGGGGGTGACGAGTTGGTCCTCGGTGGCAGTGTCCTCACCGTATACATCCTCAACGCCGCCGCCGACGGTGGATTTCGGGTCGATCTTAACCGTAGGATCCGTGACCTTGCTCGCCATCCTCAACGACCCAAGTAATATCTTAAGATCAGATTCAGCACCAACCTTTCTCAGTGACCCTTTGAGCTCAAAAGCGCTTATGTGAGAAGCAGAAGCAGAAGTTGCAGAAGATGGTGCAGTGCTCTGCTTTTGTGTTGAAGCTCTTTTTAATAACAAAACAAACAGCGACCCATTTTACATTTCCACCAATGCAAACCACAGATTTTGGAAAGATTTTTCAATGTAACCGGCACTCGAAATGGTACATCATGTGTCATTATATAAAATTTTCACCGATGCAAACCACAGATTTTGGAAAGATTTTTCAGTATGGCCGGCACGGTACACCACGTGTCATTATACAAATAGTGGAATTTACGTGTTATAAAGTTAATAATTTAAAAAATAAAATTTAGCATCGCTTACATAAAAGCACCTGATGTACCATCTGTGTTATCATCACAATTAAAATTTTCTCTAGATTTTGGCTTCTTCTACAGGGAAAGTCAAATCGTAATAGGAAATTAAGGACCAGGATCCTCTCCTAATCTAAGGATTGAGAATCCTCATGATTAAGGGATGTGGGCTGTTAAATTTTTATTCAACGGTTACAAATAGAAGGGTTCCTTTAAAATTATAATAATTATAATCGTTGAATTTTTATCTAACTGTCCACATCTCTTGGTCATAAGGATCATCATCCTTAGATTAAGAGAGGATCCTGATCCAGATAGTAAAACGGTAAGAGTCGTATTCGAGTTAACTATTCAATTTTTACTTTTTTTCTTCTCTTTTTTAGTTAATTATTAGCATAAAAGAACAGAAAAGTTAGTAGGATATTCTTATGGATTTCATTGTAAAAAAACATCGAGGGAATAGTTAGATGGGTAAACGGATAGGATTGAAGAGAGAACTAGACAGAGACATGGGATTTTGTCTGTGTTCGGCGGTACAGACGGTAGAGATGAGAAATTTTATAGTGTGTCAAAAATATGGCTTACAATGCTAAGTTCCTTCTTCCTAATCATCAAGTAAGAAGATTTGGATTATTAAAATTTGATCCAACAGTTATAAATAAGAATTCATTTTAAAAGAATTCATTTTAAAAATTATAATTAAGCAGTTCGATCAAATTTTAATAATCCTAATTCTCGAACTTAATGGATTAAAAAAAAGAAATACGAACATGATCTCTTTCCGTTTATTAAACCGTACTAAAATATTTTTTTAATAAAATGAACCGTGTATTCGGCACAACGAAAATTCTTACCGTGGTGAGAGGAGAGAGAGAGAGTTGATAAAGAGTGATAGGGCGATCTGATTTTTTATTTTTTTTTTTTTTTGGTAAAGGGTTCGATTCAATTGGATGATGAGACTATATTACACATGTCTGTGAGAGCAGGAGAGAGAGTTTGACACGGAGTGATTTTGGGGGGGGGGGAGTTTGATTCATTTGGATAATGAGATTATATTGCACATGTCCGTGTGTCGGCTCTCACAGCTGCCTCTATTGTCGTTGCTGTCCGTCAATCATTGCATGTAACCCAAAGAAATTTGTAACACAGGATGGTAGTTACTATTTTCTTTTCGTTTTATTTTTCGGTTCTCTTATTAAGTTGTAATAGTATATTATTATCGAAATCGTCTACTTTTTAGTTTAATTGTAGAGACAAGTTTATCAAATTATTTAACATTTGAATGAACGATTTCAATATTTCAAAATTTAACTAAATAAAATGAGTTGTATGTTTGTTATATAACTATTATGTGTGCAAACGATTTCAAATTTGATTCATTTTAAAAAGTTGATAGTTAAAGAGTGATATAAAATCAAATTGTTCAGATCATCGTGTGAAATCACATAATGAGAATTACTGATAAGATAGATTAAAAAAGTTCAATGAGAAAAATACTAGCATTTCTCAACTAATCAAAATAAAATAAAAAACTCTTTCCCTCTGTACATGTAAGCGCTATTCTCTTTTGATACGAATTAAGTTACTTTAGTATGTATGTGTGGTATACATTTCTTTTCATAATTTTCACTATTTCTTTATTATATACATATGTAAAAATGTCCTTTATATACTTATAAATGCACCAAATAATGATTTCAGTTCTACAACATTGAAAATTTTAAATCCACCAATTAAAATGAGTTTAAATTTAGACAACTTAATAAAATGAGTTTAGATTCTTATACGTAGTAATTGCCCTCTCGTTAATCACCTAATAACAATATCATCTCAAATTACTTTGCTTTAAATATTAAAAAAAAAGAACACTTTGCTAAACCATTTAAAAGTTAAAAGAATATATAATACATCATTATACGTTATTCTATTTTCTATTTCCTCCTTTGCATTGTTCAAGTTAATTTATTTGCGTTGAGATTTTATCACACAACCACATATCTTTAGAGGCTACTCAGTACTACCAACTAACACAATTATTAATATATCAAGTTCTTAAGTTGTCAGATTAAAATTTCAGAATCAATAGAATTATTATTTTTTCTATATTCTAAATAATTAGGCATGAGAATACTCCTCTTGCACAATATATATAGTATATATTATATTGTGTATACCTTTCAAATGACTCAAGCTTTCACATCATTTGAGAAAATTTTTATAGTGATGTGAAATTTAAGATATTTCGAATATTTTAACTATTTAAGTTTAGTTAAAAACATAAAAATTAAATTTAATAATTAAAAAGTTTGAAATATTTTGTGCATATAATTTTTATTATAACAACAATGAATTAAATTATTAATTGTTAAAAAGAAGGATCGGTGGATCGACCGTAAGGGCACCATCTGCTAAAAATTTCATCATTTTGAGTTGCTTTTGTGTTGGGGTAGGGCCCTGAAATATGACTAGTCCTTGACCACTGAGTTTCCTTTTTCCAAGTGGCTCACAGGAGATTGAGGTTTGGTTTTTCAGATTAGGTTTGGATTGGATTGAAGCACGACATTTGGTGGAGATGGTCCCGATCACGTCCTTGCACAGGAGAAATTATTTGAGGAGCCCGGCACAGGGACCGGACCCCTCTTGAGTTTAAAAGGCTAAATTTTTTGAGTAAATTTAAAATTTGATGTAACTGATTATAATTATTATAATTTTTAAAAGAATCTTTGATTAATAATTGTTAGTTCAAATTTCAACCGTCTAGATCATTTACTCAATTCAGGGGATCCAGTTCCCCCGACACACAAGACAGCTACAGTTCCGCGCCTATTGCAATTTGACACGTACAATATCATCTTTTTAAATGACACCATCCTTAAACTTACTTTTTTAAATATTAAAATTATGTAACAAAATTTCAACAAAAAAGAAAAATTCTAAATTACCCTCTTGAGATCTCGAATCCTCCGCCCCGCCCTCACCTATTCCTCCCTTCCATCACGTCTCTGTTGCCCTTTCTGTTTCTTTCTCATATCTTCCTTTTTTTATCCTCCTCTCCTCGCCGGAGAAGAACACTGGAATCTGACCACTTAACCAGCTATTAGATCGGTAGTTAGCGACACCCTCTGAGGGAGTTGCCGCTCAACATCCTATCGGTCTTCCATGTCGAAGAAATAGTGGAGAAATAGAAGGAAGATGAGAAAGAAAAATAGGTAGAGAGAGAGAGAAGAGATTCACCGACAAAATCGTCGGTCGGCAATGGAGGTGGGTTGTGATGCGTACTCGGTGTTGACGATTAGTGTGATAGGGATAATTCAGACATTTTGTTTGGTAAAATATTTTAATCGGCATTTTTCTTATTAGAAAACAAAAAAGACAGGTGTCAACCCATGATTCGTTCGGTACTCCAACTGTCTTGTGTGACGGCTCTCCGAAAAATTTCTCCTTGCACAGACGTCCTATATGAACAAACACTTCCCAAGGTCCGTGTCAAATTTTAATTAGGGTTGGCTCCTTCTCACCTGGTTTAAAGTTCCCTTTTAAGTGGGTTTGTTTTATTTTCTTGGACCTCATGGTTCATAGGTATATGAATATGAACTCCCTTGCATCATATGAAGGATGCTACGGACCGACCTTCTCAGTTGGACATTTCAGCTATCATTCTCATCTTGCTTGTTGCACGGTAATTGGAACAATCTACTTATCAACTGAAATAGAAATTGTAGTTGTTAAACCGTTCTATTAGCATTTCAAAATATCAATGTTTAACTAAATTACATGACTGGTGTATTTATTGAATAACACTTGGGTGATGGAACGATTTCATATTACATTAATCTTTAAAAAATAACCTAGAAATATACTGTTCAAATCGATGTGCAAATTATAGGATAGTAAGGAGAATTCGCAAAAAAAAAAAAAAAAAAAAAAAAAACAAATACAAATAAGAAAATTGTTACCGTTCCTCACTTCATGGTTAGATTTTATTCTCGTATGAACATTGGAATAATGAGTTTGTCATTCCAAACTAATTAAGTATCCATGATCGAGAACCATGGATTTATATGTACAACAAAAATGTTACAATATATTCAACATTTATTGACCATAAACAGTCGCTAAAGTCTAGCTTGATCACACAATCCAGTTCTTAGTTACAGAGTTCCTTCAGGACGGGGGGTGACACTAGAAAAGGGCCTTCATCACCTTGATTGATCAAGTGAATTTTGAAGGGAGCTGACCCTACAGCTTTCCATACAAACCCGCATTTACTTACAGCTCCTGCACTCCTTGCATGGTCGTAACAGATATTATATAGCGCGGTCGCCTCGTCAAATATTTCACCCGTCGGCCTTGTACTCTTGTCGAAACCATCACCACCGTACAGAATCTACGATCAGAAATCTAAATATGTTACTAGTTTGTTAACTCCTGAAGAGAGTTAACGTGGAAGAGCGAGTTAAAACTAATATTTTCATTGACAGGAACTTTAATGCGTAGCAAATATTAGAATACTTCTATCACCTTTGGTTAACATGGAGAATGCTCACTCAACTCCGACAACAAAGAGAGATTCACCATCCATAAAACAGCCAGGACTGAATGTAATACAATCCAATTTGCTATAAAACAAAGTCAAATGCATACCTTGGTTTAAATCTAGTTGTCAAAAACAGTTTTATGAGCTCCTCTTCTAGGTCTTCTTTCGAAAGCTTAGCTGGTATGATAGGGAGCTCCTCACCAGTAGAATGCTGTCATCTCCTAAAACTTGTTGTAAGAGAGTTCTCTTTGTGGTGTGTAGATTAGGGCATTCGGCATGTTTGGACTTCAAATTAACAATGGGTCTATGAGGCTCAGACTCACTTTTTTCACTTAATTCACAGATGAATATTTATGTTGATAAAAGTGAATGGTGTGCAAGCCCAAGAATTTAAAAGCATTTTCCACAAGGCTTTGTAGGCAGCAAAGGATGATTCTCTCCCCTCATAATCTCTCTCTCCTTCTCTCCCTCATGTTTGAACGGTCACGGTTAAGCTACGTCAACATCTTATATTGATTTTTTTATAAAGACAATAAGACAAAAAACAATGTGTGAGAGGAGAGGAGGGAAGGGGATGGGAATAGGAGGGAAGAGAATCCTACTCCGATGGCAATACCCTCTTTCACACTGGACAGTTACCTCAGTCAGGTTTTACAGAGGAAAGCCACTTTTTGATGGCATTTTGGTAGTTTTGAAGGGATGAAAACTCAAATTGCAATGTAAATTCTTATCTCCTGTTAGTAATCACATCAACAACTAGGAGAAGAGAAAATTACTTCGAAGGGAAAATCTATTCTATATGAGGTAGCAGAAATGCAGAAGACAAGAACACTCAACTCACAATACAAAAACTTGCTGCAGCCTACCTTTTCCAAATTCCTTTGAAATTTGACATTTTTGTAATTGCTTCTGCTACATTGCCTATATTAAAACTTCATTTCCAAAGTTTTATGCCCTTAATTGGCATTGTCAATTTTGAGCGACCCTCCAAATTTTGCCCGAGCTGGCAAAAGTTTTCTGTCTCTATGCTTTTTATGAAGTATGTACTACAGTTAAATTTGTTTGAAAAAACATCTTCATCCAAAAGCTTTGTTCATCATTTGTATTGAGATGTTGTGAATAAGAAAGCCTCTAAACAATGCATCTTTATTCACAAATTGTTATACGACTACATAATAACAGAAGGATTTTGAAGCAAAACTATAAAAAAAAAAAAAAAATTAGAAAGGCAAACTTTTACTAATAAAAGTATTGATAGCCAGCAAGTGGCTTTACAAAAACTGAAATAACAAAAGAAAATAAACACAGACGAACAGAAATTACAAATGAGCATCCTTAGCTAGGGCAACAATCCTAGCATACACAGTCTTCATGTCAATCTCCAGCCTCTCAGGCTCTTCAACTGCAATGTTGCTGTTGACCAACTGAGCATCCAAAGTATCTACTTGTTGACTTGCACTTCGGGCCTCAACCACTTTCACAGCTAGTTCACTAGCCAAGCTAGCTTTCTCAGCTTTCAGTTTGGCCAACTCTTGCTCTAGCTGCTGAATTTGTTGGTCCACTACAGAAATACTATCCCCAATTTTGGTTCCTTCTCCAATAACAGATTTCAAAAGAGTAGAGAACTCAGGGTGTTGGAGTTTCATTTGTTGCATATGTTCAGCCTCTTTGGCAGCTTGGAAGTATTGTTCCTGCAACTGCTTTAGAAGCTGGAAGAAGTATTTAAAGGTCTGGAATTGCTCTTTGGTGATCTCATTAAGCTCATACAGCTTCTCAAGTGTACTCTCAGCTTGATTAAGCATGTCGCGTTGGAAGTTGACATCAAAACCACCTTCCAACCAGTTTTTGAAGGATTGTTTTAGATCTTGAGCTTGTTGAACTGATGGCTTCTGGCTCGGGGAGTCAACCTTTTGCTTGAGTTTCTGAAGTTCGAGCAAGACATCAGAGAGGGATATGTTGGGATAAACCACAGCTAGAGGAGTTGGCTGCTCTGGTAAGTTGGAAGATGAGGAAGAAGCCTTTTCTTTTTGCCTGTTGCTCTGAGAGGGTGTGCTAGGCCTTTCCTTGCTAGCATCAGGCACAGAATGAGGAACAAGGAAATATGTGTTGTGAGCTTCTTTTGTCGAGCTAGGGGCCTTCTCTTTCTCCCCTGACGAACTGTCAATATCCACTACTCCAATTGCTGGGGTATGGGGAAGGTTGATAGTTAGAGAGGCCTCTTCATGAGTAGCTGGTAAAGATGAAGCTGCTGAATCCTGAATTCAAAGTGTGCGAGGCAATGAAAATCATGGTAAAGTTAAAAAGGATAACTGCAATAGTAAAAATAGATAAGTGATAAAGAATATACCTGTTTGAGAATTGTTGCTACCTCTACAGGCACTTGAACATTCTCAGCCTCTATCAAAATAACCTTTGATTGCTCGACGACAGGAGGTGAAGGAGGGTTGTTGCCCGAAGGGAAAGTGAAGGGCTCCATTGACATCTTAGGCTCTGCATCAGCACCAGAAGGGCCTGAGGGACGAACTGCTGAACTCCCAACCTCATAAGGATAAGGGATATCTTGGAGAGGTTCATTCATGACTTGATTCTTTTGTTCCTGCAAGAACAAGTGGTTGGTTATCCATGGACAAGACGCATAAGAGAAAATTAGGATTTGTGAACCACAGAAAAATGTAAATTGAATATCTAAAGGATGACTTATAGCAGCAACAACATTTTTATTGTGGATTCTCTCGAAAGTTTGGTGAAAACTCACCACTTTTGAAGGAGATATTGTAGTTGGACGAGTGTCGGGCACTGTACAGTGATTTTCTCTACCTTTGAAGGATATATTGTAGTTGGATGAGAAGTTAGTTTATTGAAAGGCTGATAAGGTAAAAATTGAAGGCGATATGACTGGAAGATACCTAGACGAGATGTAGTACTTCTACTAGCACTATATTGTCATCTCATCATCACCACCAGATACTATCAAACTTCTTTAGCTTATTTGTGAGGAAGGAGATCCAGTCTTTTTGAATTCGGGCAATCCTGTGTTAGAATTCTTTAGTAGGTTACAAAAACCAACAAATCTGAGATATTTGAGTTAACAACTCATAAAAAAGCAATTAGTCATTTACTGCTGCTCTTTGCTTCTTCTTACCAACTGTCCCAAAAGCTTCACCTATTTTGAGACTAGTCTTTTTTCTGGTTGAACTCGGATAATCCTGTGTTAGAATTCATCAGTAAGTTATATAAACTAACAACTCATCAAAAAGCACTTAATCACTTATCGGCTGCTCTCTTCTTCTTCCTACCAACTATCCCAAAAGCTTCACCTATTTTGAGACCAGTCTCGGGCCTAGTCCTCTTTCTGGTTGAAGTATAGGAAGCCTCTGAGGCAAGAGTGTTGTGCCTAGCCCTAGTTCTCCTCTATCTGAGCATCTTTGGTAAAGTGAAGAGGTAGGAGAAGTTGCTCGAGCCAGAGAACTAGCATCTTTTATGGCTATATCATCATATTGATTCAAGGCTACAACGAGAGGGATCCACTAACTTCCATACCCTTTAAAGGGTTGGGGAACATGAACTTATTCATCTAATAGAGTAAGAAGTCCATATGCTCTTGATCTCTATTGGTGGCAAAAGGACGAGGGGCCATACTTGCTTTTAAAATAGCTAAGAAAGTTAAAGTAGTAGATCGCACAAGCCTAAAACTCTGAAGATAGATACTTAATCTTCACTGGTGGTAGAGTGGCCTCAACTTCTCCTTTCTTCTTCTTCGACTGCAAGTCCCAGTGAGACGACTAATCCTTTGAGACGTCAATACACCTACCTCATGGCCACATACCAAACAGCTAGACATGGCCAAAATCGTGAGAGACATATGTTCCATTCTGAAATCAAAAGTATTGGTTGCATTATTCCAGAATAGCAAGGCTACGCTGAGCAGTTCGGACTTCAGGGTCACAGAAGATTTGGACATCATAATCAGGTCGGGAAACCTCCAGAAGCGTTACTCCACCTGGTCGGGCAAATTCCCTTCGAATTAGAATAAGGAGAATGAGAGAGCTAGGTGGCTGGGGGCATATTGTTCTCAACTACATCTGACACTCCTTGGTACCACACAAGGCCCAAATAGTAGGATTCCTATGGTGAAAGTAGACTGGAAGATTCAGACCACCTCGCACTTTGTAGAGTGTTCAATCGAGTTCTAAGGCTGGTAAGACCTTCATCAAACTCATGACGAGAAGCCGTTGAAGTCGATATGGATGAATTGATTGAGAGTTTGAAATTTTTTGGAACGGAGAGTTGAATTCAGTTTTCGCAAGATGAAATTATCGATCTTTCAAAGATTGATAAGGTGTTCGCTTTTATATCCTTTAAAATTTGCCCGTTAGAGTAAGTGGATTAGAGGAAGAGTTTATGCTAGTAACGGTCATTTAATGGCTGTAACCCCCTTCCCGACAAGCCGAAGGTGAAAGGTTTTTATATAATTAAGCCAAAATTAAATTGCTTAATTACATTTAAACGGGGTAACATTGACCCTGTTCGAGGCCCAATCTCTTGTCAGTAGTCACATCAACAACTAGAAGGAGAGATAATTACTTCGAAAGGCAGATGTTTGAACCAAAGGGAAAATTTGTAAAAGGTGGTAGAAAGGCAGAAGACAATGACACTAAACTCATAACACAAAAAGACTTTAAACATCTGGAACCCACCTTTTCCAAATTACTTTTGTAATTTGACACTTTTGCAGTTGCATTTACATTTGAAGCTCTGCTAGATTGCAAGTATCGATTGTCTATGGTATCTCCTGTCAGTTGATCACAATGAAAGAAAATCATGAAACAGAGAAAGTGCATAATATCTAACCTTGAAAAAGTTGAACCGGAGTGATAGAAGTAGGAGGAGCAGAAGACGGGCCTTGAAAAAGAAAAGTACGGGCATCTTTCGAAGGAGAATTCGAGGGATAGGAGTAGAAAGCAATCATAAAAGAAAAACAATCCATGAACGAAATCTGACCTTCATGAACAGAACTGATAGGAAGAGAAGATGATGGGCCTCGAAAAAGGGATGTACGTGCAGCTTTCGAAGGTGATGGAGAGAAATAGGAATTTAATTGCTTCTGTCCTCCACTAGTACTCCCTGCAACTCACATAGCCAAAGTGCCAAGTTTCAAAGAGACAGATTAATAACGGTCCATTACTAATCAACGGTTCACTACTACTCGCATCGATATTGTCCTAGTTTGCATTTATATTATAAGAGAGAAGTATCACAAAAGAGCCTCGGGAATATTAGAAGTGAAACCTTTCTTTATATATTTTAATTCATTTTATCAATTAATAGTTTTCCGTAGGATTCTTGCCTTCTTCGAGAGAATAGCAGAAGTCGGTTTTAAAAATAACCAACTAAGAAAACCCATCACTGATCAACCAAAACAAAACAATCCATGAAGTAAAAATCTGACCTTGACGACCAGGAGTGATTTGGGAAGCAGAAGACGGGCTGTGAAGAGGCGGAGAAGCAGCAGGGCCAGACTTGGTAGGGGAAGGGGAAGGAGAACGAGAACGAGGGGTACATTGGTACTTTTCGCGCAGCAAGAACCAGATGCATCCACTGAGGGCTTTTATCTTTTTTTTACTATTGTAAATTTCGCCGAGGAGTTCGAGTGCCTTCTCCTCCCCCAGCAAACCCAGCCTCCTTCTCAACGCGGCGTCCGGCTGTGGTTGCTCTTTCTCCTCACATATGCTGTTCAGTTTTTGCTGCACCGGCAGGGGCAGAGGCACCAGTTGCGGTTGTGGGCAATCCTCTCCGGCCGTGGCCGCCGCCGCAATCTCTGTGTAACTGCGTTTGGAGTTGCTGGAACCGTAATTATGCGGATGATCCATTAGTTAACTTTGTAATTAACTGGGAAGGAAGAAAGGAAATTTGCTGACAAAATCCAGTTGATTTCAAACCGGGTGGTTTAAAAGGAGCTACTACGTACTATTCCTTTTTCCGATCCATTCCATTTCTTCTTCTTCATGTGCTTTGAATTCACATGACGTCCCTCTGCCATGTGAACCACACCAAGTTTATATTTACACTTTTTTGATCTTGGGATGAACCGGACCAAGTTTTCTTTATGGCTTCCTTGAGAAGTTAGAGTACCTTAGTCCCCAAGTATATCATTCTTTTTCAGCTCTTTTCTTTTTCCTTTAGGGCTCTTTTATGCATGGTCCACTGATCCATTAATTTTGAACCAATCTGACTCGATTTCAAACCATAAGTTACGTTTTAATATAAGGAATTTTAACGAAAAGTTTAGGTATTATTCACTTTACATTTTATTTTGTCCTTATTATTAAAATTTAAAGTTTTCAAACAAGTTTCATTAGTTTTTCTTTAATTAATATACGAAAATTAATGAAAACCTCTATTTTATATTTTTATATGGTGCTTAGATCACGAGGACATCATTGTTGTGTTCGGTTTAATTATATAATATTTTGTATAAAGAATTTTATGCCTAATTCGTAATAGCAAATCTGCTTTATGTAAATTGTTGAACGACTTTACCTCCATCTCCATCTGCGGCTTGAGATTCTGTATAATGATGCAGGTGGAATTTTGAATAAGAAAGACTTTTCAAGCACCAATAAATAATATAATAAGAGAAATGTTACCAAAATTCTTTCAAACTGAGATTCTTTATAAATTCTTTACCATCTCATAATTTTTACATACAAATAATACTAGATGAGACTAAATTTACAAATTAAATAATATTTTACCAATAAATTGAGTACATGCATCAATATTTAGGTAATAATCCAATTATCAATTTTTATATTATTTATTTTATAAAATTTTATTTACAAATTTAGTCTCATAATATTATCATTTACACAATATTTATAATATTTAACAAAAATTAACGTTAAAATATAAAATTTACAAAGATTCCACTTTGAGATTGCATTTCTGATATCTTTGTCGGGTTGTCTGCTATTGAAGAATCCAAATCATATTCGGATTGGGATCTGCTGCCTTGCTAAGTGTCAGGGACACTGTAGTCAAGTGCTAGATTTTTTATTATCTGCCATTCTCATACCTTTTTATTTTTATGATCACGGTTAAGCCACATTAATATTTTATATTCTCATTATTTTTTATCTTATTATTTCTATAAAAAAAGTTAAGATAAAATGTTAACGTGGTTTAACCGTGACTATAAAAATAAGATGGAATGGAAAGGGAATAGGACGAGGAGGGTTAGACAATCCAGGTCCAGATGTTTTCAGAAGCTTACTAAACAAGGCAAACACTTTGAGTTCATTGGTGACGGCATACCTCCCGATTAATTATCATTAAATTATTTTAGATTTTGAGATTGTGTAATAGAAAAATTAAATTAAACTTATCCAAAGACAATTAATAGGATGACGAGCAAAAATATTTCTCAAAACTTTTGCATATTTTCTGCTTTGACAATGACATACAATAAATATTTTTCGAATGACTATCATATTGTCATTGTGTTTAAATTGAAATTTCAATTTTTGAATGTCTCTTTCTCAACTGCCCTAATTACCAGAACAATCCATAACTTGTAAAAGTAGTGCAAAAATCACTTTCTTAAAGTTTTGTTCCTTCGTTCCAACAGAATTTTATAGGCTTTTCACAATTTCGACTCTTATGTTATTACATTAACTGATTGATAATCAAATATTTGGGAAATGATTTTTGCTTTTTCATATAGAGTCATGAATAATGTTACATTGCATTAATACAGCATTTACTTGCACACGTCTTGCCTCCAAGCACTTCACAAGTTATACACAGACGATACAGAGCGGGGGTGCCTCGGTCCCCGGATGAATATTTCAGCCGAGGATCTTGAGCCCCCGTACCCCTTTCATTAGAGGATGTCCTTGAGAACAGAGAACGAGACTTCAAACGTGCGGTCCTCGTGTTTGGTCTTGTAATACTTACAGAGAGCTGAACCTGCAACTCTCCATGCAAACCCACATTTCCTTACGTCGTTTACTTTCCAAGCGTAGTCATACGCGAAACGATATATGGCGAGTGCCTCGTTGAATATTTCATCCAATGGCCTTGTGCTCTTCTCTAAGTCCTCACAACCATATAGAATCTGCAAAAATATTTGAGAAAAACCAGTGAGAGCAGAACAGGCACCGGAACACATAACAGGTCCTGAAATGTTTGTTCATTAATCTTACCTCTTTATACCGTCTTATGAGCTTATCGGCAGCCTTATTCTTGCCCTCTTTATCATCGTATTGCAAGACGGAGGTCATTTCACTCCTGAACTGCTCGTAGAGTTCGTACCACTTCTTCAGACACTGCTCGGGGAGGTCTTCAACATCGAAACAAGGAAGTTTTTCCACTACTGCACAAATGCATAGAGGCACAAGAGCAACGTCAAAACTCTTGCTTTTCTATGGACAGCGACGTATGTAATACGACTAGCTAATATTAGAAAAGCATTTCATCACCTTCGTCAGAAGTGTCTTCCGGTTGATATTCCTCCACCGCGTCATAAATTGATCCCAAAATGGAAGTTGATTTGTACGAGTTGAGCTTACCCATGTAATGGGGGAATGACCGCGGTTTCAAATCATTGGGGATTTTGACCTGTTACTCAGAAGTGAAATCCAAGTTTTAAATCATCGGAGATCATACACAAACAGTAAATAACCAAACACTGGCTACTGAGTTCCCATTCCAATGCATGAACTTAAAACAGCAAGAGGGTGAGAATGTTCTTGCACCATATGCAATCGAATCAAAGGGTAATCGAAGACAGACAAAAGTTCCATTTGTATAACATCCAGGAGAGAAAGTAATCACATCAACAACTATGAGGAGAGAAAATTACTTCGAAGGGAAAATCTGTTCTATATGAGGTAGCAGAAATGCAGAAGACAAGAACACTCAACTCACAATACAAAAACTTGCTGCAGCCTACCTTTTCCAAATTCCTTTGAAATTTGACATTTTTGTAATTGCTTCTGCTACATTGCCTATATTAAAACTTCATTTCCAAAGTTTTATGCCCTTAATTGGCATTGTCAATTTTGAGTGACCCTCCAAATTTTGCCCGAGCTGGCAAAAGTTTTCTGTCTCTTTGCTTTTTACGAAGTATGTACTACAGTTAAATTTGTTTGAAAAAACAGCTTCATCCAAAAGCTTTGTTCATCATTTGTATTGAGATGTTGTGAATAAGAAAGCCTCTAAACAATGCATCTTTATTCACAAATTGTTATACCACTACAGAATAACAGAAGGATTTTGAAGCAAAACTATAAAAAAAAAAATTTAGAAAGGCGAACTTTTACTAATAAAAGTACTGATAGCCAGCAAGTGGCTTTACAAAAACTGAAATAACAAAAGAAAATAAACAGAGATGAACAGAAATTACAAATGAGCATCCTTAGCTAGGGCAACAATCCTAGCATATACAGTCTTCATGTCAATCTCCAGCCTCTCAGGCTCTTCAACTGCAATGTTGCTCTTGACCAACTGAGCATCCAAAATATCTACTTGTTGACTTGCACTTCGGGCCTCAACCACTTTCACAGCAAGTTCACTAGCCAAGCTAGCTTTCTCAGCTTTCAGTTTGGCCAACTCTTGCTCTAGTTGCTGAATTTGTTGGTCCACTACAGAAATACTATCCCCAATTTTGGTTCCTTCTCCAATAACAGATTTCAAAAGAGTAGAGAACTCAGAGTGTTGGAGTTTCATTTGTTGCATATGTTCAGCCTCTTTGGCAGCTTGGAAGTATTGTTCCTGCAACTGCTTTAGAAGCTGGAAGAAGTATTTAAAGGTCTGGAATTGCTCTTTGGTGATCTCATTAAGCTCATACAGCTTCTCAAGTGTACTCTCAACTTGATTAAGCATGTCGTGTTGGAAGTTGACATCAAAACCACCTTCCAACCAGTCTTTGAAGGATTGTTTTAGATATTGAGCTTGTTGAACTGATGGCTTCTGGCACGGGGAGTCAACCTTTTGCTTGAGTTTCTGAAGTTCGAGCAAGACCTCATAGAGGGATATGTTGGGATAAACCACAGCTAGAGGAGTTGGCTGCTCTGGTAAGTTGGAAGATGAGGAAGAAGCCTTTTCTTTTTGCCTGTTGCTCTGAGAGGGTGTGCTAGGCCTTTCCTTGCTAGCATCAGGCACAGAATGAGGAACAAGGAAATATGTGTTGTGAGCTTCTTTTGTCGAGCTAGGGGCCTTCTCTTTCTCCCCTGACGAACTGTCAATATCCCCTACTCCAATTGCTGGGGTATGGGGAAGGTTGATAGTTAGAGAGGCCTCTTCATGAGTAGCTGGTAAAGATGAAGCTGCTGAATCCTGAAATCAAAGTGTGCGAGGCAATGAAAATCATGGTAAAGTTAACAAGGATAACTGGAATAGTAAAAATAGATAAGTGATAAAGAATATACCTGTTTGGAAATTGTTGCTACCTCTACAGGCACTGTAACATTGTCAGCCTCTATCAAAACAACCTTTGATTGCTCGACGACATGAGATGAAGGAGAGTTGTTGCCTAAAGGGAAAGTGAAAGACTCCGCTGACATCTTAGGCTCTGCATCAGCACCAGAAGGACCTGAGGGATGGACTCCTGAACTCCCAACCTCATAAGGATAAGGGATATCTTGGAGAGGTTCATCCATGACTTGATTCTTTTGTTCCTGCCAGAACAAGTGGTAAGTTATCCATGGACAACGGGCATAAGAGAAAATCAGGATTTGTGAACCACAGAAAAATGTAAATCGAATATCTAAAAAATGACTTATAGTAGCAACAATATTTTTATTGTGGTTTTCTCCGGTAAGTTTGATGAAAACTCACCACCTTTGAAGTAGATATTGTAGTTGGAAGAGTGTCGGGCACTGTGGTGATTTTCTTTACAAATAAGGCACTAGAAACTGCCTTTGTGGAAGGAACTGAAAAACCTTCCCCATGTGATTTGTGTATCACAGACCTTTCAATCTTAGCTCCATAATCTTCTTATGAGAAAGACATTAACTTTGATGTCAGATCAATCAAAGATTCTCAAAATTGAGAGGGGCTTTCCTAGAAGGCCTTATAACCTCAGTGGACTACAAAGATATTAGAAGGATGAGAAGTTAGTTGATTGAAAAGCTAATAAGGTAAAAATTGAAGGCGATATGACAGGAAGATACCTTGATAAGATGTGGTACTTCTGCTAGCACTATATTGTCATCTCATCATCACCACCAGATACTATTAAACTTCTTTGGCTTATTTGTGAGGAAAGAGATCCAGTCTTTTTGAATTCGGGCAATCCTATGTCAGAATTCTTTAGTAGGTTACAAAAACCAGCAAATCTGAGAAATTCGGGTTAACAACTCATAAAAAAGAGATTAGTCACTTACTGCTGCTCTTTGCTTCTTCCTACCAACTGTCCCAAAAGCTTCACCTATTTTGAGACTAGTCTCGGGCCTAATCATTTTTCTAGTTGAATTCGGACAATCTTGTGTTAGAATTCATCAGTAAGTTATATAAACCAACAAATTTGAGGAATTTGGGTTAACAATTCATCAAAAAGCATTTAGTCACTTATTGGCTGCTCTCTTCTTCTTCCTACCAACTATCCCAGAAGCTTTACCTATTTTGAGACCAGTATTGAGCCTAGTCCTATTTCTGGTTGAAGTATAGGAAGCCTCTGAGGCAAGATTTTTGTGCCTAGCCTTAGTTCTCCTCTATCTGAGGCTCTCTGATGAAGATGAAGAGGTAGGAGAAGTTGCCCGAGCCCGAGAACTAGCACCTGACAGGTTGCTTGAGGAACATTTGTAGCTCGTCCTCGGCCTCTTCACCATCAGTGCCAAACGTGGCCTCAATATCATCATATTGATTCAAGGCTACAGCGAGAGGGATCCACTAACTTCCATACCCTCTAAAGGGTTGGGGAACATGAACTTATTCATCTAATAGAGTAAGAAGTCCATGTGCTCTTGATCTCTATTGGTAGAGAGGGATGAGGGACCATACTTGCTTTTAAAATAGCTAAGAAAGTTAAGTAGTAGGTCGCACAAGCCTGAAACTCTGAAGATAGATACTTAATCTTCACTGGTGGTAGAGTGGCCTCAACTTCTCCTTTCTTCTTCTTCGACTACAAGTCCCAGTGAGACGACTAATCCTTTGAGACGTCAAAACACCTACCTCATGGCCACATACCAAACAGCTGAGCCATGGCCAAAATCATGAGAGGTCGGGAAACCTCTAGAACCGTTACTCCACCTGGTTGGGCAAATTCCCTTCAAATTAGAATAAGGAGAATGAGAGAGCTAGGTGGCTGGGGGCATATTGTTCTCAACTACGTCTGACACTTCTTGGTACCACACAAGGCCCAAATAGTAGGATTCCTATGGTGAAAGTAGACTGGAAGATTCAGACCACCTCGCACTTTGTAGAGTGTTCAATCGAGTTCTAAGGCTGGTAAGACCTTCAACAAACTCATGACGAGAAGCTGTTGAAGTCCGCATGGATGAATTGATTGAGAGTTTGAAATTTTCAGGAATGGAGAGTTGAATTCAGTTTTCGCAAGATGAAATTATCGATCTTTTGAAGACTTAAAAGTATTCTGGAAATTGAAGGTGAAGTGAAAATTGACAACGCGTTCGCTTTTATATCCTTTAAAATTTGCCCGTTAGAGTAAGTGGATTAGAGGAAGAGTTTATGCTAGTAACGGTCATTTAATGGTTGTAACCCCCTTCCTGACAAGCCGAAGGTGAAAGGTTTTTATATAATTAAGCCAAAATTAAATTGCTTAATTACATTTAAACGGGGTAACATTGGCCCTGTTCGAGGCCCAATCTCTTGTCAGTAGTCACATCAACAACTAGGAGGAGAGATAATTACTTCGAAAGGAAGATGTTTGAACCAAAGGGAAAATTTGTATAAGGTGGTAGAAAAGCAGAAGACAATGACACTAAACTCACAACACAAAAAGACTTTAAACATCTGCAACCCACCATTTCCAAACTACTTTTGTAATTTGACACCTTTGCAGTTGCATTTACGTTTGAAGCTCTGCTAGATTGAAAGTATTGATTGTCTGTGGTATCTCCTGTCAGTTGATCACAATGAAAGAAAATCATGAAACAGAGAGAGTGCATAATATCTAACCTTGAAAAAGTTGAACCGGAGTGATAGAAGTAGGAGGAGCAGAAGACGGGCCTTGAAAAAGAAAAGTACGGGCATCTTTCGAAGGAGAATTCGAGGGATAGGAGTAGAAAGCAATCATAAAAGAAAAACAATCCATGAACGAAAATCTGACCTTCATGAACAGGACTGATAGGAAGAGAAGATGATGGGCCTCGAAAAGGGATGTACGTGCAGATTTCAAAGGTGATGGAGAGAAATAGGAATTTAATTGCTTCTGTCCTCCACTAGTACTCCCTGCAACTCACATAGCAAAAGTGCCAAGTTTCAAAGAGACGAATTAACAGTCCATTACTAATCAACGGTTCACTACTAATCACATCGATATTGTCCTAGTTTACATTTATATTATAAGAGAGAAGTATCACAAAAGAGCCTGGGAATATTAGAAGTGAAACCTTTCTTTATATATTTTAATTCATTTTATCAATTAATAGTTTTCCGTAGGATTCTTGCCTTCTTCGAGAGAATAGCAGAAGTCGGTTTTAAAAATAACCAGCTAAGAAAACCCATCAATGATCAACCAAAACAAAACAACCCATGAAGTAAAAATCTGACCTTGACGACCAGGAGTGATTTGGGAAGCAGAAGACGGGCTGTGAAGAGGCGGAGAAGCAGCAGGGCCAGACTTGGTAGGGGAAGGGGAAGGAGAACGAGAACGAGGGGTACATTGGTACTTTTCGCGCAGCAAGAACCAGATGTATCCACTGAGGGTTTTGATCTGTTTTTTACTATTGTAAATTTCGCCGAGGAGTTCGAGTGCCTTCTCCTCCCCCAGCAAACCCAGCCTCCTTCTCAACGCGGCGTCCGGCTGCGGCTGCTCTTTCTCCTCACATATGCTGTTCAGTTTTTGCTGCACCGGCAGGGGCAGAGGTATCAGTTGCGGTTGTGGGCAATCGTCTCCGGCCGTGGCCGCCGCCGCAATCTCTGTGTAACTGCGTTTGGAGTTGCTGGAACCGTAATTATGCGGATGATCCATTAGTTAACTTTGTAATTAACTGGGAAGGAAGAAAGGAAGTTTGCTGACAAAATCCAGTTGATTTCAAACCGGGTGGTTTAAAAGGAGCTACTACGTACTATTCCTTTTTCCAATCCATTCCATTTCTTCTTCTTCATGTGCTTTGAATTCACACGACGTCCCTCTGCCATGTGAACCAGACCAAGTTTATATTTACACTTTTTTGATCTTGGGATGAACCGGACCAAGTTTTCTGTGTACAGAGACTTTGGATTGGACCGAGACTCCAAGCTGAACCATGCGCCGACAAGGGAAAGTGGTTCTTCATCCTTTTTCAACGATAGAAAAGATGGCTTCCTTGAGAAGTTAGAGTACCTTAGTCCCCAAGTATATCATTCTTTTTCAGCTCTTTTCTTTTTCCTTTAGGGCTCTTTTATGCATGGTCCACTGATCCATTAATTTTGAACCAATCTGACTCAATTTCAAACCATAAGTTACGATTTAATATAAGGACTTTAACGAAAAGTTTAGGTATTATTCATTTTACATTTTATTTTGTCTTTATCTTAAAATTCAAAATTTTTAAGTTAATTTCATTAGTTTTCTTTAATTAATATACAAAAATTAATGAAAACCTCTATTTTATATTTTTATATGGTGCTTAGATCACGAGGTCATCATCGTTGTGTTCGGTTTAATTATATAATATTTTGTATAAATTATTTTATGCCCAATTCGTAATAGTAAATCTGCTTTATGTAAATTGTTGAACGACTTTACCTCTATCTCCATGTGCAGGCTTAAGATTCTGTATAATGATGCAGGTGGAATTTTGAATAAGAAAGACTTTTCAAGCATCAATAAATAATATAATAAGAGAAATGTACCAAAATTCTTTTAAATAAGATTTTTTATAGATTTTTTACCATCTTATAATTTTTACATACAGATAATGCTAGATAAGACTAAATTTGTAAATTAAATGATATGTCACCAATAGATTGAGCACGTATATCAATACTTAAGTAATAATTCAATCATCAATTTTCATGTTATTTATTTTACAAAATTTTATTTATAAATTTAGTCTCATAATATTATCCTTTACACAATATTTATAATATTTAACAAAAATTAACGTTAAAATATAAAATTTACAAAGATTCCACTTTGAGATTGCACTTCTGATATCTTTGTCGGGTTGTCTGAAATGGAAGAATCCAAATAATATTCGGATTGGGATCTGCTGCCTTGCTAAGTGTCAGGGACAAAGGGTTAGATTTTTTGGACCTGAATTGCCTACCATCCCCGTTCCGTATCCTTCCCATCTCTTTCTTTATGTGGTTATGATTAACATTTTATATTCCTATTATTTTTTATCTTATTATTTCTATAAAAAATATTCAATATAAAATATTTGCGTGGCTTAATTGTGACTATAAAAATAAGAGAGGATGGAAAGGGTATGAGATGGGAACGGTTAGACAACCCAGGTCCAGATTTTTTCAGAAGCTTACTAAACAAGGCAAACACTTTTGAGTTCATTGGTGACGGCATACCTCCCGATTTATCATTAAATTATTTTAGATTTCGAGCTTGTGTAGTAGAAAAATTAAATTAAACTTATCCAAAGATAATAGGATGACGAGCAAAAATATTTCTTAAGACTTTTACGTCTTTTCTGCTTTGACAATGACATACTACAAATATTTTTCAAATGACTATCATATTGTCACTATGTTTAAATTGAAATTTCAATTTTTGTATGTCTCTTTTACAACTGCCCTAAGTACCAAAACAATCCACAACTTGTAAAAGTAGTGTAAAAATCACCTTCTTAAAGTTTTGTTCCTTCGTTCCAACAGAATTTTATTGCCTTTTCACAATTTTCGACTCTTATGTTATTAAATTAACTGATTGATAATCAAATATTTGGGAAATGATTTTTGCTTTTTCATATATAGTCATGAATAATGAAACATTGCATTAATACAGCATTTACTTGCACACGTCTTGCCTCCAAGCACGTTCACAAGTTATACACAGACGATACAGAGCGGGGGTGCCTCGGTCCTCGGATGAATATTTCAGCCGAGGATCTTGAGCCCCCGTATTACTTTCATTAGAGGATGTCCTTGAGAACAGAGAACGAGACTTCAAACGTGCGGTCCTCGTGTTTGGTCTTGTAATACTTACAGAGAGCTGAACCTGCAACTCTCCATGCAAACCCACATTTCCTTACATCGTTTACTTTCCAAGCGTAGTCATACGCGAAACGATATATGGCGAGTGCCTCGTTGAATATTTCATCCAATGGCCTTGTGCTCTTCTCTAAGTCCTCACAACCATATAGAATCTGCAAAAATATTTGAGAAAAACCAGTGAGAGCAGAACAGGCACCGGAACACATAACAGGTCCTGAAATGTTTGTTCATTAATCTTACCTCTTTATACCGTCTTATGAGCTTATCGGCAGCCTTATTCTTGCCCTCTTTATCATCGTATTGCAAGACGGAGGTCATTTCACTCCTGTACTGCTCGTAGAGTTCGTACCACTTCTTCAGACACTGCTCGGGGAGGTCTTCAACATCGAAACAAGGAAGTTTTTCCACTACTGCACAAATGCATAGAGGCACAAGAGCAAAGTCAAAACTCTTGCTTTTCTATGGACAGCGACGTATGTAATACGACTAGCTAATATTAGAAAAGCATTTCATCACCTTCGTCAGAAGTGTCTTCCGGTTGATATTCCTCCACCGCGTCATAAATTGATCCCAAAATGGAAGTTGATTTGTACGAGTTGAGCTTACCCATGTAATGGGGGAATGACCGCGGTTTCAAATCATTGGGGATTTTGACCTGTTACTCAGAAGTGAAATCCAAGTTTTAAATCACCGGAGATCATACACAAACAGTAAATAACCACACACTGGCTACTGAGTTCCCATTCCAATGCATGAACTTAAAACAGCAAGAGGGTGAGAATGTTCTTGCACCATATGCAATCGAATCAAAGGGTAATCGAAGACGGACAAAAGTTCCATTTGTATAACATCCAGGAGAGAAAGTAAGATAAAGTCATATTAATATCATCCAACAACATGACTGAAGCACGAAACAACAGAACTAACCGTTCGACATTTTTTTGGAGCATCCAAAGCATCGTAGTATAAATCAATCAACCGCAGCATTTTTGCTTTCGTAAGGGTTTTCTCATGACCATCTCCCAGGGTCAAATATTCATCCATATAAGCCAACCAGTTGTCAGAAGCCGTACTCATCGCATAACTGAAAAAACAGAAATTATTTTGAGCACCAGAAACATAAGACATGCTGTGGATGAAATGTTCGATTTATAAACAAATTTAATACAAATAAGCATGAATCATAGCCAGAGACTGCCGTCTCAGTCTAAACAAATAGGGAGATCTACCACCTGATATCATATCGAGAAAAATGGAAACCAAATTAAAATGAGGTTCAACAATTACTTGATACTTTGTAGCGGTCAAGAACGTACTAAACGTTAATAACGAAAATTCGAATTTAAAGTTTCCTTTTGCCAGTAGAATTACTGAACTATGCTACCTTAAAGCATCAAACGATATCAAAAGGTTCTACTAAAGCTAAGAGCATTAACCATCGAGAAAATAGTAACTACAACACATTTGGAACCTAAATATAACCAGAATTTCAATGTAATTCAACCGAAATGGGTCTAAATACAGATTCACCATACCTCGGTTCAAACCTAGTTGTTAAGAATTGTTTAAAGAGCACATCCTCTATATGATCGGGCAAAAGCGCACTTGGAGGTAAGGTGGTGGCAGCTTTGGACGTTGATGAAGTATCGATCCAAGGTTCACTTTGTTTGAAACATTCTAAAAGCTGAAATAATTCCAAGAATTACTGATGAACAAAATTATTTCCATTCCATGCATAAACTGGTTAAGTAGTTCTAGAAGGTCTGTGCATGTTGAAGTTTCAAAATAATGGCAAAGTAATCATGCTTTAGGTAAATGCCAACCCGTGGGTTTCTTGAGACCCAATATAGATCGCCATCAAAATCTCCACCACCCATTTCATCAGCTACTGAACGCGAACCTTTGCGAGAGAAGAATATAGCAAAGCCACTATTTCCGACAAATTCTTTCAACTCCTCCACGTAGGTGGCCTTCAAAACATGAACATCACCAAAATGTAAACCTGGATGCCGGTACACCAGGACCTCTCCTTGAATTGGCCCGCTGTCACTGCAAATGTCGTTGGGCCGAAAATTAAACCTTCAAACGATAAGTGAACCATATCTATTGACATTAAGATCCGCATGGATCGACAAAGCAACAATGCAGAGTAACAACTTTAGAACACATGAAACAAGAAAACAATCCAAATAACTAAAACCATATTATAACATATACTAAAAACAGCTTCTACATGGAAAATTTAGTTCATAATCCGTAGAAACATAATATACATAATACATTAGTGCAACTATAACTCCTAAAGCAAGAAGCTACGAAAACTTGTACAGCATAACCAGATATACCATCTTATAACATAGATTAAAGATTTTACGTCTCAGTTGTTAGGATAAACATTTTACCAAACTACAAATATTGCCGTTGCAGATTAATTCATTCCTTCTATGATTCTATCGTACAACATGTAATCAAGCGATTGTATTTTATAGCTAATTTCATGAAATTATTTAATAAATTTTGTGTGACAGGAGAGGATTAAAAAATGCCAGAAATTGTACATACAGAAGAACGCAAACTTGATCCTTTTCCAGAATCCCTGTTGGATCAGTAGTCCCCATCAACATGTAACTCTGAGGACTAGAAATTTTCCCTTTTTTAAGACTGGTATTTTCCTCTTTCATCAGGAATGACAAACGATGTTGCAAATATGATTCTTCTAGAGGAATATCAGAAGAGATCATCTTAAATGTGTTGTAGTCATAATCCATCCCGCCGTAGCTCAAGGCAACTGCAAATACAGAAGATGAAGGAACGAAACCCATCAAGGAACTAGAAATAGTGAAGGGAAAAATAAACTTGATAGAATGTTATTTAATCCATGGACATGTATCAAAACAAGAATTTGGCAGCCATTTGAAAAGAAAGAAATATCAGCTTACCTTTGGCTGCTGCACGCCTATTGCAGAAAACACCATGAGTATTTTCCAGATCTTTCATCAGTAACTCCATGAAATAATCTTTCGGCACTCCTCCATGGCATAGAAGGGAAATTAAACTCCTCGAAAATTTTGTATTCCTAGGCTTTGTACTGGAAGATGAAAACGTCAACTTAAAAACTACACCTTCAATAATTTGCTCTGCATCTGAAATTCTCAACTGTAGGGGGAGCAATACAAACTAGGCAAACATACATGCTAGATAATGGGTGTACCTTACTCCAACTATCTCCAACGAATTCACTGTTTGACCATCCAGCATCCGTCGATCTGTCTCAACTTTAATCATTGATGGTCGAATCTGGATCGTTTTTTGTGGTAGCTACAACGTTGGACATAGAAGATTGTAAATAGTATAGGACGTCAGAAATTTAGATAATGAAGAAAACAATGTTAATCAGAACTATTCTCTAAAGTTTTCATTATAATGCATGAACCTGTAATTGGGGTTGTATTATTTCGATTTACTTCAGTAATGATGAGGGCATTTCCATAAGTAAATGAAAGAAATCATACCTTTTTATTGACCAGAAAGGTTCCCTTCACAGCACGGCCCTTGTAGAAAAGTCGGACCTGCATGAGCAAAGGCTACAGGGGGAAAGCAGGGGGAAAACAAAAGCACAAAGGAAATGAGAATATATTGAGCGAACTTAATTCAAAATCTCCAATTTACCTAAAATATAGAATCACAAACCTCAAAGTATTCATTGCTGAACTCTTTTTTCAGTAATTCTTTCGGACAAAGTGACGCCAAATCCTCTGATATGAATCCAGTTCCATCTGAATGTATAAGAGGCTTGCCGTCTGTATAGATATGATTACCGTATGCATCCTGCAGTTTATTGAAAACAAAAAATAAAAAATAAACTGCATGGTAAGATTAAACAAAAGAAAAGGATATCTAAATATAATTAGGAATGGCAAGTTTACTGGAAAGGATAGTTTGAGGATCGTACCAGACAATACTCATCATCAATGTCGTCAACCCTCACAAGAGACCAATCTTTTACTTCTAAGCTCTCTGTCTTAGACAAAATAAGTGAAAACCTGAATCCCCGAGAAAGATGATAGCTTAGAACCTTAAGGAAAAATGCTTCCATACAACATCAAAAAAGAAACTTTGTGTGTTATAGACAGCGACATACCTAATCATGTAGTTGCTCACAGTGGACACAGTATGTGGATGCATGAAAATGCATCTTGCTTCATGAATCGTTTTATTAGATATTTTGTAATCTTCTCCCCTGTCAATCGCGGCACTAGAGTCCACACGGATAAAGTAACACTTCACAGGTGATGAAGTCGAGCTTTTTGTCTTTTCTTTATTGCCACCATCTTTGAACACTGATTCATAACCATATTAAGAAAGACAGAAATAATGATCAATCGTACTAGAATTCTCAACTGACTGAATGAAATGAACACAACAGGTTCAACTGTCAAATACACGTTAAAAGTTCACCACTGATAAATGGTCTAAATAACATAAAAATCAGTTTCAAAAATATAGAATCCCAAGTTTAAACCATGTCATCATTCTCGTCCTACTTCCAGTATGTGAAGTAACATGATAAACTATACTTTTGAGCCAATCAAGAAAAGCACGGGAAAGAATAAGATCAAAGTGGTTAAGGAAGTAAAACATCTTCAAAATTGTGAATTCAAATTTCACATAAGAAGGCATTAAGGACATACCAAAGAAACGATATCGGCGCAAACCAACAAGAATCCCTTCTCTAGCGACCTTGCTATAGTCAGCATAAAGGTCCCTCTGCTTCCAGGGATCTTTCGCATCGGCAAATTTCACCATTAAAACGCTGTCGTCTCCTAAAACTTTCTGTAGGAGAGTTCTTTTTGCGTTGTGTGGATAGGGGCCCTGAAAAATAACAATATATCAGGTATTCGACGTCAGAAAGGAACTACAAACAGATTACCCATATGCAAGCATGCAGACACATGTTTGTGGGCGATCACATTTATACTGGGGGTAGGAGTAAAAACCTTAAAATTGTAGCTCCCATCCACAGCGACTTCACAATGGTAGCCGTATGCTTTTCCAGACTCCAAATCCAAAGTCTACATCCCACCGAAAACATGAAAGGGACATTAGGGCATTAGGCATATAGACTAAAAGTAATGGATAAAGATTGGCTGATGCCAGTACTAAAGAAGCCAGTGGCAGTGAACAGCGTTAAAAGTCCAATTTTCTTTACAGGAACTTGAATAAAAAGTAGGCCAAGAGTGAAAACCAACCAGCAAAGATTATGGTAATTCATTAATTTAAACATAAACCAGCTTTGAGAGTGATACTCACCCATTGTCGGTTTTCCTTGCGAGCATATTTCCTACCCAAAGTTTCCCAAACTGTGTTCTCAAACCGCTGCATTGGCATATCTTTCCAACTTCTAATAGTCTCTGGTGCAAGGACATCTTCTAACTTCGTTCTAAAAAAATAGATACATAAGTAAAGAAACCTAAAAGCAGGTAAGTAAACGGTTTAGTCAAGAGGAAATTCAGAACCAAATAAGCCACAGTCCAACTTTCGCATACCCTCCGGCGTAATTTAATATCAGAAACTGTCTCCTGAATTCAAGTTCGCCTAGAGCTTCTAATTGTGCCTGCCCATCGTGTCTTGGTTGGTCTACAACCAAGGACTGATTAGTGAGAGCTCCAAGAATAGATAGTTATCACAAACAAACAGTTGATCACGATGAATGAAAACCATGAAACAGAGAAAGTGCAAAATATCTGACCTTGAAAAAGTCGAACCGGAGTGAGAGAAGACTTAGAAGCAGGAGGAGAAGCAGAAGACGGGCCTTGAAAGAGAGAAGTACGGGCAGCTTTCGAAGGAGAATCCGAGGGATAGGAGGAATTGAATGGCCTCACTCTTCCCTCACGGTCTGCAGGTTGCTCTGTAACTCACATAATCGAGACAAAAAATGGGTTGAAAGAAAAACATTCAGAAATGACACAACCCATGAAAGAAAAACTCAACGTGAAAACCTCACCTTGACGAACAGGAGTGATAGGAGCAGATGATGGGCCTTGAAAAAGAGATGCGCGTACAGATTTTGAAGGAGATGGAAAGAAATAGGAATGCAATTGCATCTGTCCGCCACGAGTACTCCCTGCAACTCACATAACGAAAGTGTCAAGATTTCAATGGGACGGACTAACGGTCCACTGCTAAATTACTAATATATTGTCCCGACCAACAAACGAGAGAATTATCATAAGGGGGCATCGTCATTATTAGCAGTGAAACAATTCTTTATACATTGTAATTCATTTTAGGGGCTTTTAGATCCAAGTTCAAAAACATATATGGTTATATGTATTTATTTTTTTAATGCTCATTTTATATTTTCTAAAAATATTAAAAATTAATTAAAATCTTCTAATATTATGAATTTTCAACCTCAAAAAAATATAATTAATATCTTATAACAAAAAAATAATATATTGACATAAATCTGTCTGCAAATCATTCTACCCTAACTCAAGTAACAAATATATGAATATATATCATACCTATAAGTAAGATATGAAACTTAATTGGTAGAAAAAACATAATATATATTTAAGTAAGACACATGAATCTTACTTGATTATAAAAAAAAAATCTATCATATAAGTAAATAAATATAATTAACCTGTAATATAGGTTGATTATAAAAATAAAAAATAAAATCCATAAATGGGGTTTAAAACTGAATAAAGAATAAGAAAGAACAAAAAAAATAAATAATTAAAGAGATAATTATGAAAAAATTTGATTATTATAATAAATCTTATTATTTAAGAGATAATTATTGATAATAAAATAATAAAACTTAAGAAATTGAATTTATTTTAATAAACTAGACTATTCTTACTTGGCTAAAAAAATTAGACTATATCAAATTTCTCCGCGGCAATTTTCCCACGTGGGATTCTCGCATTCTTCGACAGAAATAGCAGAAATCGGATTTTAAAATAATCAGCAAAGAAAACCCATCGCTGATCAACCAAAACAAAACAACCCATGAAGTAAAAATCTGACCTTGACGACCAGGAGTGATTTGAGAAGCAGGAGACGGGCTGTGAAGAAGCGGAGAAGCAGCAGGGCCAGACTTGGAAGGGGAAGGGGAAGGAGAAGGAGAATGAGGGGTACACTGGTACTTTTCATGGTGGAGCAAGAACCAAATGCATCCACTGAGGGTGCTGATGTTGTAAATGTCATCAAGGAGTTCGAGTGCCTTCTCCTCCCCCAGCAAGCCCAGCTTCCTTTTCAACTCGGCGTCCGGCTGCGGCTGCTGTTTCTCCCCGCATATACTGTTCAGTTTTTGCTGCACCCGCGGAGGCAGAGGCACGTGCAGTTGCGGTTGTGGGCAATCGTCTCCGGGGGTGGCCACGGCTGCTGGGCGTGGCGGGGAAAAGCCAATGGCGGCGGTGGCGGGGCGGTGAGAGTAGCTGAGAGACAAAAGGTCGGGATTTGAGAAGACGGGGTCATCGAAATCAACACCCTCAATCTCTGCGTAACTGCATTTGGAGTTGCTGGGACCGTAATTAGGCGGATGATTCATTGATTAACTTTGTAATCAACTGGGAAGGAAGGAAGCATGCAAGCAAGGAAGGAAGGAAGAAAGGAAGGAAGAAGTCTCAATAGACTGGAGCTTTTTGAGTTCAGCGTTGAGCGTGTGTGAAATTATATAATGGCAGGGAGGGAAGTTTGCTGACAAAATCCAGTTGGTTTCGCAGATGGTGGTTTAAAAGGAGCTACTACTTTATATTGTTACTTCTTCATGCCATTTCTTCTTGTGCTTTGAATTCACACGACGTGCCTCTTACTGGGTTACACTGGCCCGCTCCTAGTTTTATTAATTAATCATTCGGGCAAAATAGTTTTGAGAAATTTTATTTAAACTCATATAACCTATTTTACCAATTAACTTATCTTTTGCACTTATTTGATTTTAACTAACTATTAATATTTCTTTAAATCCTAAATTTAATACCTAATATACCCCCATAAATCCAATTCAATATGTGAATTTCTTTTTACGCCCATTTGATTTTTAATTCAGAAGTTGCAGCAGCAAGCTGTGCTCTTCAAAACCGTGTGCCAAATTTTCTTAGTGTCCTCATTTTTCTTGAATTCCCATAGCTCGAATTTTTGCAAAGTCTGCAAATTTGCAAGATAAAAATCAATGGCTCTCAAGGTCGTTCATGTCTCTGATGTTCCAAACCTCGATTAAGTCACAGAAAATGTTGCTGCATTGGTCATACATTGATGCCATGATTTTGGGGTGTAGTCAGACTACACCGGCAGAGAAGAAAAAAAATAATAATATAAAAACATAAGAAGCAATCCTTGCAATATCTGCAAGTCTTTTTGGTTTTTTAGGTGCAGATTTTGTATTAGGACTTTTAGGCAATACTATTTGCACCAATAGCTAAATTGATGCCATGATTTTGGGGTGTAGCCAGACTACACCAACATAGAAGAAGAAGAAGAGAATATATATATATAAAAACAAAAGAAGCAAACAGAATCCAAGGTCCTTGCAATACCTGCAAGTCCTTTTGGTTTTTTGCGGTGCAGATGGACAATGGAATATCGATTGCAACAATTTGTTGTGGTAGAAAGATAAACAAACTATGCAGGATTGATTGAAAAAAAAAATTAAAACCAAAATACTCATCTTCCAAACTCTAAAAAATTGAAATCAAATGAACAAAAAATTCATAAACGTAGAAACAAAGAATGATCGTAGGGTTTAATTATAGTGTTTGGGTTTATTGATAAATTTGAATTTTATTATTAATTTCATTTTGTACTTAATAGTAATTATGCAATAGGATAAAAGAGACAATTAACATTTAAAATTTTAAATTAAGTGTAAAAAGAGGTTGCATGGGTTTAAATAAATTTTCCAATAGTTTTTTATATTGGCTTATTTTTAGTTGTGCATCAAGTCGATTTTGATATCACTAGATGTAACTCACTCAAAGGTTCGCTTTACTTTCTTAAATATAAAATTTGTTCTACTTTATCATATTTTGGTTTCTTCAATCCACTATGAATTGTTTGAATGTTAATGCATGGTGGAGATGAATTTGATTATAAATCTCCACTATGTGTCACATTCAACAGTCAGAAAATATTTATTTTAAATGAAGAAATTAAAGATTTGAATTTTTTTGGGATGATGTGCTTGAGTTGCAGAGATCTAAAAAAAATAAAAAAGAATTTGATTAACCTAGTGCACTTAAATGATGCCCAACTGATGACATTTGATTCAATTCGACAGATGTCAAATCAATTAAGAGAAACAGTGAGAGGAAGAGGCCGGGTTGACAGTTAGCAAGAGAGGATGAGAGTTCTCGCCGCGAGATGGAAATGGTAATGGTAGGTAAACAACGCCAGAAAGTCAAGCGAATTTTGACTTCGTGTTTCAGGGAATAAAATAAAATCAAAATAGAGCGAATTTGACAAAAAAAAGAAAAGAAACATTTTAAGTTTTAAAAACAAAAGTAATCATGTTTGAGTTATAAAAAATAAAATAAAATTAAAGTCGAATTCCAGTAATTAAAAATAAGCCTTTTATATTTGGCCGAAAAAGGAAGTGACTTGGATGCTAAGTTTGAAGTTTTCGTAACGAAGAATCTGCTATATGTACTTTACCGACCTACTTTATCTACATGTGCAGCTTCAGATTTATCATCTGTTCTGCCTTTGTCAAATCGAGCTTTTGAGATTCTCTTCGTAATGCAAATGGAACTATGACTAGGAAAGACTATTCAAGTAATTGGAATAAAATATAATTGAAGAAGTTGAAAAAGAATGTGTAGAAGAAAACAAAAAAAAAAGTGTGAAAATTTTTTTTTTTCAAAAATTACGATCAATTTCTGTCTTTTTGAATTCATTGAAACATTTAGGGCTACTTTTATTACATTATGTCTTATTTGACAACAAAAAGAAGATTTAAGGTGATGTGTTACCGATGTCAGTTAAACCGGTTGATTACAGTCGCATGTACATTCTTTTGAACCCGAGTCAAAATTCCACGACTCTGATAAAATAGTTTAGAATAAAATATCGACTCAGTGATACTTTGAAACAAGTTTTGAACCTTTAACAATGATGAATATACATGTGTAATTCACATTCACAACTTCATTCAATCAGGTCACAAATATTTCTTGACAACACACAAAAAATTGAGGATACAATGAAAGAATCACAAGTCGCCAAGTATATATATGTAAGAAAATCTTCGCATCTGCAGAGCAGAAGCAAAGTTTGTAAGATGAAGAAAAGCAGCGACTCATATGTTATTACGATGGAGCCTGTTAACATCGACAGAACATATATGATCGACATTTCGCACGCGTGCATCCTCGACAAAGAATGGAGATAAAAGCAATCATGTATACCTTCATACGAACGACGCATCCTATGATTGTCATTTTTGCGGAAGTAGCTTCTGGCATGGAGCAAGCAACTACCAAATCACGGTAAGTTAGTGTTACCAAGTCCCATGGACTCTGCGACTTCTCTAGCGGAAAAATTGTCTGCTTGAGCCTGCATAAAGAATCCACATTTAGAAGATATAGATACGATATTGGATCATGACCGAATGTCGGCTTCTCATACAAATTGTAATGCTGAAGTAGTATCCATACCTGAAGGCTATGCAGCAAATACATCAAAAAGAGATGTACAAATACCTGCATATGATTTATTCCGGTTATTTTGTAATTCAATACACTCCAAATAGTATGTCTGCCTTTAAACACGTGTTTAACTGTTTTACCAGGTAGAATAGTAAGATAAGTCGAGCTGTTGGATATCGCCAGAGAAATCTTGTGGCCCTGACTGCTCCTGAATCTAACATTTTTGCTGCCTTCTGCAACTGCATGAGATGAGGTGAAACGTAAGAGTGAGGAACCGAGAACAAGAATGGTGATAGATGTAAGAAAATTATTTACCTGTATGCTTGCCCCAGCCATATGACGATGATGCAACGGAAGAGTCCTAAAGATGTTATATTTTCGTTAAGTTCCATCCAAAGACGAACAATTATAACATATTACTTGGTACTTAACAAGATGCAAAAAGAATGAAGGGAAATCACGTAAAAATTCCTTTTAAAAGAGTCAACATACTCAAGTGCCTTCATTTCAGCATCTTCTTCCCAGGATGCTGATGCCCGACGGGAAACTCTACTTCTTTCAGCCTCCACCTGCATATAATATGGATTCATAATTTCATATAGAGAAGGGAACATATGAGTACTAAAAAATTCAAAGTAAATGGACTCTTGAATCTATACAAAAACTATCATGCAAGCAGCATAAAACACCTAGAAACAGACCTGTGCTTCCTGGATACGCTTAATTTCCTTTTCCAAGTGAAACTCTGCTGCGGCTTTTTCACTAGCCATGGTTTCTAATTGTGTTTGCTTGTAGTACTGAATAATAAATGGAACAAGAAGTGTCAATAAAGACGCGACATCTGACCATTTAAATAAGTGTTCTTGAGTGACATTACCAGTAGATCAGTGAGTTCACGATAGCGTTTCTCTAGCTCCATGTGTTCCTGCAAAATGCAAAATATAACCTGTAAATAACATAGAGCTCGAGATAACCTAGTAAAAGTCTTTGTATGATGAAGATATATGAAAAGAGAGGCAGCAGTATCACCTGGCGTGAGTAATGCTCTGCATCCCTCTTCATAGAAGCCATTTCAACTCTCATTTTTTGTACTTCGGCCTGAAATCAAGCATTTCAAGAAGTGTTATATAAACAAGTTGTTCGACAAGGCAAAAATTTCAGAGCACAAAGCTATAAACTGATAATAACAACACTGTTGAGCAACAAACAAAGGACTCACCTCCAACGAAGAAAGCTTGCCCTCTGCATCCCTCTGACCTTGGCGTGCACGTTCCACTTCTTCCTGCCATGCCTGCACCTTAGTATTCACAACCGTAAGTGAGTACAATAATACTGTGGGGAAGCTTTAAATATGCTCAACTAATTTGGGCTGGGCTGGGCGCCCATGTGACAATGAGATGATACTTACTACCAAGTAATAGAAATCACACTTGAAGTTTAGACTATAATAAAATGCAGAAATAAAATGGAAATCACAAAGAATACCTGAATTGTTTGATTTGCCTCTTCTGGTGACTTCTTTTGCCCACGCCGAACTTTAGCTTCCATATCTTGCAGCTCTTGATTTAAATTGGCACATTCAACCTGATGGCACATAATGTTAATTATCCAAGGATCTTAAGACGGTATTATGTTCCAGACATGAACAAAAACACTAGTACAAATATAATATAGAATGTTTAATCTACCTCAAGCAATGCCATCTTCTGCTCAAGCTCTGATGCCTTTGCAATCCTCTCATCTGCTATTCTCTGAATAGGGAAGCACTGGAACGTTCAGTATATTATGCTCAAACTCACATATGTATAATTCATTGAAATCCCAGAAAAGCATGAAAATGCAATGTCTTCAGAGTTCAGAGACAGAACATGGAATCATAGATACAACTCCTGGAAAAAAGCTCATTGACAAAACAAAATTTGTAAAACTTTCAAAATATTGTAACAAGTTCATCAGAAAATAAAAACCTAATATGCAAGCATTATTATATGGTTCATGTATAAAGGAACTAAGAATCTCAGTAATCATAAGCTTCTAAAGAGAAGAAAGAGATCAAAAAATTCATAAATATAATGGTATATAATTTTATTTTTTTATCAAGTAATGGTGCATAGCAAAGAGTCACA